GTAATACCTGTCGCAATTTGTAATAAACCGTGTCGCACTTTGTAATAAAAAAGCTGTTGCAATTTGTAACAACTGTCCATCGCACTTTGTAATAAACTAAGCTGTCGAAATTTGTAATAATTCCATCGCACTTTGTAATAACTTTTTGAGAGTAAATAAACTTACTTCGTCAACATTAATATAACACCAAAATATGCATGGTACTTCATAAACAAAGATGGAGATGACGTCTGCTAGCACGTAACATCTCCGCTCATTCAAACATTTAACTTTATTCACAGTCCTACACATTTTTTTAGATTAATGTTGATTGGTTATCTGACTTACGAAATGCTGTATTCTTGAACCTTGTTATTGTACTAGGTGGCTTGCATTCAATGGTTACCCGGCGGGTGTACCTCTTTATATGGCCAATACGGGGATGTGCCTCTGGACAGGGCATTACCAGAGTCGAGGATCTAGACAGAGCTAGATACACTAAACACAAACAAGCCATTATTAAAAAGCATTTAATTTCCATCCTACATCATTCGAATAAGGACACCAGGAGAGTTCAAGCTTTCCTTATTAGATCTTATAACAGGTTGACACATCACGTGGTACACCGTTCTTGTCTAACGAGCAACCTTAAAGAAGTAATAGTGGCTTCCATATTTTGGCCAACTTAATCAAACGAGGCCTGGAAAGATTCAAAATGTTTACTGCAAATGAAAAAAAACGTCACCAGTGGCAAACCTTCGAACCACAACAGAAACCTAAACACAAAATCCAATTAGTCGCTGGCCAATACCTTCGTATGTACCTGTTTTTATAACACTCATTTGGGGTCTTACACTGAGCCGGCTGGGCATTTGGTCCATTATTCTCACTTGAATCTTTGTTTATGAAGTACCATGCATATTTTGGCATTATATTAATGTTTACGAAGTAAGTTGAATCACTCTCAAAAAATTATTACAAAGTGAGATGGAATTATTACAAATTGCGACAGCTTAGTTTATTACAAAGTGTGATGGACTGTTATTACAAATTGCGACACCTTTTTTATTACAAAGTGCGACACGGTTTATTACAAATTGCGACAGGTATTACAAAGTGCGATGATTATTACAAATTGCGACAGTACACACGCGCCCTAGCCTTCACTATATTTCAGTTGCTTTCAATTAATGTGAAATATACCCTAGTAAAAAAATTGCCAAAAAAGACGTTTATTTTTTAATATGATTAAAATCATCATCATCATTATTATTGTGCTAAAATATGGAGTAGTCTTCCTTTTACGTTTACTTTCCCCAAATTTATTCGGAAAACAAACAAACAGGCAAAAATAATAAAAAAATCAGACTAAAATGCTTCTTTCAGTTAATGTAGGAAGAAAGGGAAAATGAAGAGACTCCCTGTTCCATCCCCCCATTCCCCCCCCCAACGCGGCGTGCTTCATCCACGCGTTTCCCTTGTTAATATTGATAAGGAGACAAAACGTGGAGACTGCGGACGAGTCGTGTCACAACCCACACCTTCTCCTCTTTATCTACCCACCAAACGTTTGCCTGTTTTTAACTAATCAGTTTTTTCCCTTTGCAGATCTAGGCCTCAGAAGATCATGAACGGAACAGCTAATATAACGGCAGAAGCCTCTTTTATAGAACAGTCTCACCTGCTTGGAATACCAGAGGCGACCTTTTGGTGCACATTGTTCATCCTGGAAGCAGCACTGATAGCAGCAGGAAATCTTCTTACAGCCGTGGTGTTTCTGCGAAGCAAGAGACTCCGAAAAAGGCGCTACTACTTGATCATTAACCTAGCCATCTCGGACACGCTTGTCGGAGCGCTGGCCTTGCCAATGTTTCTCGTCCCGTTTGGTAAATCCCTCGCTGTCTGGAACACCGAAACTGCCGTCCATGGAGACGCCATTTTGTTTTTCGACATGTTTGCGGGGTTTGCGTCGATCACGTTTCTCACAATGATTGCATTAGAGCGTCTCTATGCAACCATGCGACCATTCAGCTACCGCGCACTCAAGTCACGTTGGTATGTGCTGCTTACCATCTTCGCGTGGATTACCGCTGCCTCAATCCCATCAATCCACCTGGCTGCGCTGAAGTATCCCGGCATGCATCTCTCTTCCACGAAGAGGGCTATGGTATCCTTGTGGGTCCCATTCCTCTCCGCGCTACTCTTCATAATTTGCATTTCTTATCTTATCATCTGGAAGAAAGTTAGTAATGTCACCAGAAGCGTGAGAAAGGAAAAAGTCATAGAGAAGGAGTCTTCCTTATCCCGTATTTGCCTGATCGTTACGGCCATGTCAGTTGTAGCTTGGCTTCCTTTTATTATTGTCAGTATGCTTATTAATTCACACTACGAGCTGTTTAATTTTCACGCGCTGTATATCACCAAATTCCTTCATTACGCCAATTCGTTGCTGAATCCCGTATTGTACGTGCTAAAAATTCCCGAATTCAAGACATCCATGTGGAACTTGTTCAGCAAGAATCCTGATAACACAATCACAGATATGACTCCTCCTTTTTCCCGCACGAGGTCGGGTCGTTGACTTTGCAAGTTTGTTACGCTAAAATTCATGAAGAAAAACTCATTCCCAGGGTCCTCTCCTACCAGTCCCTTCGGAGCGTCTCTCCACGTGTAGGAGAGAGAACCTGGGAACAAATTTGTCAATGAGGCTATTTAAATGTTGGACTTAATTCTGGCAAGAGAAGTATACTCTTTTAATACTCTCTTGATTCTGATGGTTACTACTGAATATAACCTCATTCTTGGGGGAAAATCCCTCCTCGATCTGTAGAAATTAAGTGTCTCTCTTTTGGTGCATTGATCCAGCCATTTAATTACCTTTTCGCCCCGTGTAGGGGGAATCCGGACTCCGCATTCCAAGAAATTGCTTGTGGCATCTGGGATCCGGGAAAATTTTGCTTGTAAAATTAGGAATCCTGGGTTTTGGAATCTGGTAAACAGCTCAAAGAATCCGGAATTCACTAACAACCGGAATCCAGAATCCAAATTCCACTGTCAAAGACTTGAATCCACTCCTGGAATCCGGAATCCACGTCTTGTAATCCAGATCCAAGTCTGTCTTAGATTCCCTCACACGGGGCGGACCATTTTTCGTGGGCGCTTTGGTTGTCGGTGAAGAAGGAATTCGACGGCTGAAAAGGGCCCAAGTCTTAATCCAATTTTCACTGTAGCATGGCTAAGCATCAGTTCAAAAGTTAAGCCGAGCAGAACTCTGTTATACACCCCCTTTCGATTTAAATAAATGATTTATAACACCATACAATTATTCTATGGATTTGGCCTTGATTCTTCGACGTAACTATCTGGAAAGTAACTGTGATCTTTGTTACAGCTTATAGCTTGTAAGATCCCTGTAAGAACTTTCCAGACTTAATATAAAGAGTAGAAATATTTAGTTTAGGGGTGGAACAAATGTCAAAGTTCTCACAGATTGTGAACAGCCATCATCACATTATTTGTGTCCATTTAATAAAAAAAAAGTGTTTGTGAGCATCCAGGCGTTTTTCCCCTGACTTATCTCAAGTTTAGAGGAACTACAACATACCATTCAAGGAAGAGCTCAAAAAAAGACAATTATCCCCCTAGAAACTAACAGAACGGTAAAACTAATAGTGAGTGCATGGGTTCGGCATGGATCAATGGTCTCACCCCCGGCTCAGGAAAATGCTATATTTGCGATAAATTTTGGGGTAATATAGAAATTTGGTACCCAGAAAGACCTAATCGCATTAGACATTTTCAAAACACTTTGCTTATAATAGCGAGTAAGTTTTTTGATATGCCACGTCATCATTTTCTTAGTCGAAAATATTTGACGGAACGGTGACGGTTCAAAGAAACACTATCAAATGCAAAACTGAAGGTATTCCCTTTTCTTATCAGTTAAGTATCTTTTACCTTTCGCAGTTGGAATAACTGTTCTGATCAAGGCGTAAAAATGTCATTTTTAGGTCAAAATCTAATCTAGACTTTTTTTAATTCAAAATCCTCAACCGAACTTCAGTGAATTCATTCCAAACATAGGAGAAGTGCCCCCATTTTATCTGTCAGAAATATCTTTTTGATCACGTGACTTTCCACGTGACCAAAACTGTAAACGCGCGAAAGAAAACCACGACATATTCAATACGGGAAATTTCTTCCTTATGCATAACTTAGCTGCTACTGATCAATCATACTGTCTGAATGCACGGTAACCCTTGAGAAAAAAATGGGTATGCGATCAAACGACAAGTATCGTGAGACAAAGGATGATTTAGTAACCAATTCGATGACCATGATGAATAATACATTTCATTAAATTGCCTTGCTCTTTGACAAAAAGAATTGGAGCAATCGTCAAGATGAACGAGGTATGATGCTGGCTCTCCCCTAGTTTCACACGCAGCCGTGGGTAGGGGGTACTCCTTATAGTAGGCTATACGGGGAGGAACCGCCCGAAAGAGGTACCCTTTCATATACCTAAAACCTGAAAAAGGTAGGGATTTCATTAGTTAAGGTATATGAAAGGGTAAGAAAATCTGTCATTTCGGTCTGTAAAAAGGCCAAAAATGGCTAAAAGATGCATTTTGTGGCTGTGAACAAGTTGTAAAAACTCTCTGGTTCTGGGATGTATTCATATTTTTAAAGACGGTGAATTTACAGCAGTTCAAAAGGATGGGGAATTATAAACTAAGTATGTGAAAGTGGTAGCATTTGTCAATAAAGTATACGAATTGGAAAGGGGTGCCTTTTCGATCAAAAATTGGTAAACTAAATAAAAGGGTAGGGGCTAGGACCTCAGGGCGGAGACTCCCCGTATAAAACATTGTTGAGCTCCCCCCCCCGGGTAAACACAGGCATTTATAGGGGAGTCTTTTCCTTCCCTCACCCCAAGGGAAACGTACTTCCCTATAAACGGTTACGTGAGTGGTTAGCATCCCCCCACTCTTCTTCCCCTGCTGTCGTAACTTCAAAAGCGCATAACCCCGTTAACATCCAGTTACAAATGTCAGTGTTCAGTGGCGGATCCAGGGGGTCCGGGCCCCTCGGGGGTCCCCTATATTTTTAGACCAAACTGAGTCCCGTAGGGCAGAAAAAACTTATTTCGAGACCGCCCCCCTTATCTCAGCGTCGGCAGGGTCGGGATGATTGCCCCCCTTATCCGACGGTCTGGAAACGCCACTGGTGTTGGCTAATGTTACGAACCGACACTACTATAAGAACTTGGTCTATAACCAGCCATCTTAACCGAACAAGCTTGGTTACTAAAGGATTTACTTTATGGCACAACAGAGACCTTTTCCTTCCGGGACCGACACAGGAAATCCCATTTGCCTACTCGGGTAGCCAATCAGAACTCAGGATTAGCCTAATCTTGTCTGCTCAGTCGCGGATTCAGCCATATAATAATAGACAAATGTATCCATTTGTAGCCTGCGAACCACAGACGTTTCTCCTCGCTCATCGCCGCTGAGGGACGTTTCGCGAGGAGGTACGTCTGCGACTCAGCGACAGAAATTCCATACTGATGACGTAAATCAATGTTTACATAAATAAATCCGGTATTCATGCGGTTCCAAATACAAATTTGTTCAATTTTACGTTTCTCCTGGTCGATTTTGGTGAAGTGTGGTGTTCATCTGCGAATGAGCTGGAGCAAAACTCAAATGCTACTTTTAGAGAAGACTATATTCCACAAATATCGACTGTTTTGTTAGAGACTCATCGCGTTTACATTTGACCTTTGCGGCCTTTTGTCTTTTGTCTGTCATTTGTAAACAATAGCTAAAACAATGAATCTACTCCGTCGACCAATTAGCGCTTCTGACCGGATTCCGGACGGATTTTACGTCATCAGTACGGAATTTCTGTCGCTGAGTCGCAGACGTTCCTCCTCGCGAAACGTTCGTCAGCGGCGATGGGCGAGGAGAAACGTCTGCCGTTCGCAGGCTAATCCATTTGCAACAAATGAGGATTAGATAAAGCAAAAATGAAATGGTCGACCAAAAACCCTCATGGTATAATAGATTTGCTTAAAGTAAATAGCAATTCCGAATGTAATTAATGTTTTTCTATGCAACAGTCACTGAGTCTGTAAACAAGTAGGCGTTTAAAATCTGCAATTTTCACTAATAGGAAATTTCAGAGGTATTATTTGCCCATGTTTTGTCAATTGTTAATTGATTTTGGGCTTCACGTTTTCCCAAATCTGACAGCTTCAGTGACGTCACAATCAGACCTGCTATACTAAAATGAATCAGTTTTACAGTAATGCTTTTTACATTACTTTGAATGATATTTGATTTCACATCATCTAATAACACAGTGATCGGATATACTATCAGCGCCGTTTTTTAAAATACATTTCCGCCTCATGGCGCAACATGTATACAAAATTATAAATTAAAGTAGGCATACGTTTTGGACTAAACTAAAGGAGAGGGTCAGAGAAGGAGATGGGCAAAGTGAAAACGTGTTTTTCCGTGCTTATCTTTCAACTATAATCAAAAACTTTTTTTTTAGTTTGTTATCATAAATTATCTTAATTGGCCGATAAGATACGAAAACGAACACGAAACAAGACTACAGAAACAGCGGTACCTTTAAAATACCATTTGGGGTATAAGACAGACGGTGTGCAAAAGAAAAAAAAAAGAAAACACTGCATTCACTTAAGTGGAAAAAATGAAATTAGTAAAAAATACACTACACAAAAAGAATCAAATTGTACACAGTCAGGCCCGGTCCAGAACGACGCTGAACGTTTCATGAGCTGAACCTAATACATTGAATTAAGTACATGAAAAATTTGGCGTCTGAATCAATAAGGAAGGCCTGTACCGAACTTGTGGGGTACACTCTAAACTCATGTACTCACAAATTGTACTCGACAAATCCTTGTTTTTATTCTCCTCGTGGTTTTCCAACGCGTCTCTAATATTTGTTCTATCTTACACACACAAAAACCTATTATCTCATCTCAAACGTCTCCGGTTGCAAACTCGTGATCCTAGCCTAAACGTGCTTACGCAACTTCCGTTCAGGCCTATTTCAATTTGGAATGGCTCAGCCGTTCTTCCCGCCCAGCCCGGCTAGGAATTTCGACTTTATTTGGAGAACCAAATCTATAAATTATTATAAGTATTTGCGAATTAAATGAGCGTTTTTTCTCGTTTTGAATTTAATTCGCAGTCTGAATCTATTGAACCGGTCTAAGTAACTTGGGTCGGCCTTAATTCGAATTAGGTTTGGCTCAAGAAAAGTTCGGCTTCTGAACTGGGTCTCAGAACAGCTGATGATAGTTATTGCTCAACTTGCGGTAATGTGTAGCTCAATTTAAGAATACAGAACCGCCTGATTGTATCTTTTACTACTCTCCTTACTTCTCTGATCCTCCAACAGTACAGGAGCGGGTTCAATGTTGAGTTTAAGTAAACTACAGTTCCTGTATACTGCCTGGCAAGATAAATTGACAAAGGCATCCCTCTTTGAGGTGTTAACGCTGCCACTACAGCAAACGGCAGATAACAAACAACCAATGTTACCTGTACCCACATCGCGCTGTACACTGCCTTTCTGTATCGATCTATGTTCGGTGGAATTGCTTGGCTCGGTTGTCTTTGATGCATCTGAATCTGATTACGCCGCAAAGTAAAAAAAATTTTTGTGTAAGCGAAAACTGAGGTGACTAGACACACACATATGCCTAGGTGATAAAACCACAACTTTATGCGAGGATCCCAAAAATTGCCTGCCGTGATCAAAATGGACAAAACCCAGAAAGAGATTACAGTTACAAGTGTTCTCTTAAATGTTACAAAATTTCTGTATCTGAGCCCCAGTGACAGCGCCAGGAGTCTGTCCACGCTTATTGCAGTTGATATTGCCAAAGACACTGAGCATAAAGTGTTGCTAATGATGAAATTTGCCACAGCCGCGTAATAGCAAATATTCCATTTTTGCTTCACCACAGACATCCAATGGACAACGGTCGTAGGCTCTACAATGACACCAACACAGATATCAGTTGTCGCCAAGCCACCAAACAAAACTTTGGAAGGCAGATGAAGCGATCGCGAAGACACCTTAGGCAGAGCTACTAGGATCAGAGTGTTACCCAGAGACGCGGTAATGGACAGAAAAATATTTAACACTGAAATAAAAGTCAACTCGCTGTGTACTTTTCCAGTGAACTCTCCAGAGCAATAAAGTTCAGTTGTTAATTTCTGGCTTACTCCCCCAGTAAAATTTTTTAACATCATTTGTTCTTTTTAAATTCGAGTTTCGAGTGCGAAATCCTACGTTGCTAGTTTTTCAAGAGTTCCCTGTATTCGATATTAATCTCCTTTCTCCTTGGTCTGCTCCGCATGGCTGTTATACCACGTGACAAACCAGCTGCAAAGGGGAAATTCAAAGGCAAAATCAAACATTTCGTAATAAAAGTAAATATGTCAATTTGGTGTGCGAGAAATACTTCTAATCATAATAATGATAGTGATCAGCTTTATCTAACGAGGGTAATACGGGACAGTACTTCAACTGAATAACTAGTGGCCCTCAAACTAAAACTATAAAACAAAAATTAAGTAACCAAAAATACATATCGTTCAAGAAAAAGAACTGTAAGTATATATATGAAAAAGACTACAAAGAGTGAAAACTATATTGCAATTATAAAATATCCTTACAGAGAATATCCACAAACTATAATTACAATAAAAATACGACTAGGATGGGTCAAGCGAGAGGAAGGCTGTGAAATGCCGAATTAGCACCAGAAATTTTCTGACATCCGGTCATGCATGTGCAGTTCCTATTTATATTCACGACTAAGAGACGGGAATGGGTGTGCAGCTCGAACTATGGAGCCTGAGTGTGTTTAATGCCGTCCAAATATCATACAAAGTTCAACATCATAACTAAAGAATGGTATACAAATATCCCTAAATAAAGTCACTCAGGCTAAGCTATTCACGTGCGCCGTCTGATACGAAAACCCAATGGGAAAAAATTGGGAACGTATTCTCCAGCCGATGCGGTTGCACAACCTCTGGGGGTTAAAGGTAAAAAATCAATCGATAGATGAATAAAGTAAGATATAAAAATAAAAGTTGATAGTTCGAGAGCTGAGATGAATACATTACAACCGTCAAAACCTTATATACCTAATAACAATAGAGTCAATTAACGCCATAGCGGCTCACGTGCGTTCATTCCAATAGGAAAGTATTTACATTCTCTGTCACTGCCCCTACGCAAAACTTACCTTCTCGAAAATTTCAGCCAGGAAAAGGCTCCCGAAAATTCTAGGTGGCCTTTTTTAGGGTCAAAATCCGTTAAAAATGGGTAATTATGCCATTTTGTAGATGTTCGAAAATCCTAGGAGAGTCAGGCAAGCAAGACATTTTACAACAAATGCTCCGAAAATTCTAGATCTAAAATCGTCTTCCGAACAGATACTTTCCCGAAAATTGCCGTTGGGTGCCCCTGACTACGTTTAGCTCCGCCGAATGTAAATACATAAGTTACAAATATCACTGCTCATGCGCATAACGGATTTTTGTCCCTTACCTCTCCACTGGGGAAAACGTTTTACTTCCTGTGTTCTCTCCAGCGAGTGGCTTCTTTGGGCTGTTTTGAAAACACAGATTTCACTCAACTAGAATAAGGAGAAGACATTAACAAAAACCAGCTGAACACACTGTTGGGTTGCAGAACTGGGACAATTAATCGGCAGATTATCTGGCGTCTGAGTTTAATATGTGAGCTCACGTTTAGCGAAAACAAACACTGGGAAAGCAATATCGTGGAGATCGAAAGTCAGTCTAAATAAAAAGGTATCTTGTTCCATGTCCTGCAAATGCTATCTTATTTCAAAACGCCTTTTGAAACGAAACAATTCACGTGTTATGTCATTAAGTCAGGGGCACCCAACGAGAATATAGTTCAAAACCACTTAAACATAGCATTGTTAAACGTATTTTAGTATTTAAACGGTAGATATAGGTATATTTTTATCCCCTAAAAATTTTTCATCTGTTCGGATTTCCTAGCTGAAAGTCAAGTGATCCGAAAATTATAGGGATCAAAACTTACCTTTTCGAAAATTTTAGCCAGAAAAAAGGCTCCCGAAAATTCTAGGTGACCTTTTTAGGTTAAAAATCCGTTAAAAATAGGCAATTATACCATTTTTTAGATATCCGAAAATCCTAGGAGAGGCAGGCAAGCAAGAAATTTTACAACAAATGTTCCGAAAATTCTAGATTTCAAATCGTCTTCCGAACAGATATTTTTCCGAAAATTGTCGTTGGGTGCCCCTGATTAAGTGAACAGGAAAATAACATATATATATTCGTTCCACCCCACCTAGTTGTGTTTCTCCTATACGTTTATTTCCTTTTGAAGCGTCAAATGATAGGTTTTAATTTTGCCCATGAGTTTTTGTGAACAACTTGATTCAAGACAACCGAAGGTTTATGTCAAAACAAGTCAATGTTAATCATTTTGCTGTCCCAAAGGGAAAATCACACAGTTTGGTCAAAATTTGGCAAGGCAAGAAGTATACTTCATGCAGGGCCAACCTGAACTGATTTTTTGAGGGTAGTACAGTTGTATTGAAACTGAATGTAGTGCTTTATAGAGTTAAAGTACAATATCTGCTCACAGCTATAATTGTTTAATTGTTTAGTTCCCTCAAAATTGATTATTTTGTGTTATAATATGAGGGTTTCCATCTAGGAAAGAGTTTTATTAGAAGTGAATCAATGACCAGTGGAAGCAAGTTTTCATTTGGCTCATTTGTCAATAACCAAGTAAACTTTAAAGATGCCCTATGCTTCAGTAAGCCAAGGCTGTGTGCAAGCTCAAGGAGGGGGTGGAGTTTAGCCCACAACGAAGGCAAACATTCTTCGTCAAGGCTCGTGGTTCTCATAGAAACTTCTCAAACTTGACCTTCAATTCTGTTTTACACTAGTTACATTGCATTCAATTACAAACAAAACCGGATTGTCGCGATCGACGTAAATCAGACACGTATTTCATGTTTGCAGTTCGAAAGGGCAGGAAGTATAGATTTTCCAACTGTACATAATAGAGGTTACTACGACCTTTAAAAAACGGTCGCACATGTGTTTTATTCCAACGCGCACATGACCTAAACGCATTTTCTCTGCAAGAGAATGCTCCAAATACCATCGGTTTATTCTTTTATCCTTACGTGAAACCAAGTTAGCAACATTAAAAAAGTCGATACTGTTTTGAAAACATGCAAACTTACGTCAAACATATGTTTTGTCACCAGTTCGGTTGGTATTAAGCTTTTTCATTTTCGATGCGTTTATAATGTTCTGATCAGCAAATTTTAAACGTGGTAAAGAACCGGGAAATTGGATGCAAAAAAAGAACAAAACAAAACGAAATTTATTAAAGGAAATTTATTTCTGAAAGAAATAAATGGTTTTATGCTTAATGTGACTGATTAATGTGTCATTTCTCCAGTTACTGGGGAGGGGGCGTTCCTGCCATCCGGGACATTATATATTGTGTTTTTAATACATGAAAGACAGGCACAACAGGGTCGTAACATGGTATATCCGGGGCCCACTGATCCCTATTTTCTTACCGTTATTTTGATCCCTGAGCCCCATTTTCCCAAAAATTTTGATCCCTGAGCCCTGATAAAAGAATTGATCCCATCCATGTTTTTACACAAAATTTTAACTTAGGCAACTTGTTTATCTCCAAATATAGAATATAGAACATGCTCAAATAGGCTGACGAGGAAAACATTAACTTTAATTTTTAGTGCAAGTTGTAGGTTCTATCAGAGCTTTCTATTCTGCTATCCCTGTTGATGTTGTAGTCTTATGTGAATTTCCTCTTTCACGCTGTGTGTGTTACAGTGAGGATCACGATCAATTACCAATAGCAAAATACCTTCTTTACATGAAGTAGAAAAATTAAATGATGCAAGCCACTGGTTCTACAGTTTAAGAGCATTTCTGTGTCAAGCCCATTAATTGCTTTTCGTGGCTTAATAACCATTGTAGATTGTCAGAGGACATATCTGGTTGTACGTCTTCCAGACCTACTCCTTCCGGCTTCAAATCTAATTGGCTCTGAAAAGTTGCCCGCCTGAGCTTGCTCCCCTTCCTCTTCGTCACCACCTGACGCAGGTGAATCATCTGATTCAACTGACCCCTGGAGCAATGCAACTAGGCGTTGCTCTTCAATGCAGCTCAAACAGAAGTTGTTCCCATCTTTTATTATTTGAACCTCGCCGATCATACACTTAGGAGAATTTCTATCGTCACGGTGCCCAGTCTGGTATACAAGGGGATCTTCTTCTGACTGTTCCAGCAATCTCAAACCCATGTGATCTTCCAGGAATGCGTCACCGTTATGGTGGAGATCTTTTAAAAGAACTGCAAGGAAGAAAGGATGATATACCTCTTGTAACTGTGCTTGAGAGCAACTACGTCGCCTTTTGAATAGATAATCTCATATTCCTCGGCTGCGTCTTGAACTGTAGTTTGTCCTTCACTCCCTTGGACCTATTTCAGCTCATCGACTTCTACATATGCCGACGCATTCCTTCTGAACATACTCAGAGCAAGTGGAAGTGTACCAGCTCTTTCTTTGGTCTTCCCTCTCGTTCGTTGCTGTCGTACACCCCGTCCGAATTCTTTCGCAAAGCTCTGCAATGCCTTCCTTTGTCGCTCCTTTCCCTCCGCGCTCGTTTCCTCGTCCATATCCTCCTTAAGGTTTACTCTTGCCGTGCGACTTTCGAAGCCATTCCGGTGCCTTTGGACCCAGCTTTCTCTGTGTGTAATGGCTTTGAGGACCGGTATAAAAGATAAACGAGGATTGGTAGAGCCTCTCTATTGATTCTAAAAGGCAGCTGGGCCGCCGCGATGCGTATTTGTTCAGAGCAAGTGTTCTTACTCCACTAAACAATTATTCAGGCTCCAAATCTAAGGTGATGATACCTTTCGGGGCCAACCATTACATAAGCCGAGGCCGAATAGCCCAAAGGGCCGAAAAAATTCTTGTAGATCAATATTGTCACTAAAGTCTGTAAATTTTGTGCAAAACAAAATAGCCACTACTACACGAATGAGGTCTGAAAAAATCTTGCATGAAAAAAATAACCCATCCCCGACTCAAAAATCAAATAGTGGGCCCCCTTACTGGTGGCCCTGCATGCTGAGTGCTATAATATATTTATTTAAATTCCTGCCAACTCTGCTACTTGTACCTAGTATGCAACATTCCTTTCACCAATTCAACCGTTTATTTTATAAAAAAAAAACTAAAGAAAATAAACTATTAAGGTTTTGTTACTCTTCTTTCATCGAGGTAAGTCTTGGTGTTCCACTTATTTTCACTAATTCTACACTGTAATTTCAGACTATTTATCATACAAGCATTTATTAGTTATACAGTAATGGAATATGTCCTTTACTTTCCCGGCCCAATACTAGCACTGGTAGGTGAACCGATCTCGGTTTCTCATCAGAGTTCGAGATAACCCTAAAACTCCATGCAATTAGACCAGATTTATTAAATTGCGAGAAAGCATTTATTTTGCAATAAAGCGCGCGAATTCATTGTACTTTTGTATTCTACTTTTGATGTCCATTTTAATTATTCAAGTACTTTTAAGAGTTAAGTTAGTGGTCAAAAAATACGAACCTCGATTTATAGTCGCCCTGTGACTTGCTTGAGGCTATGAGGCAATCGGGACCTATACAGTAAATTCCGCTTTCAATGAATCGGTTTGTCTATTGTCCTGGCGGTATTGATTTGTTATGTTTGATCGGCTCAAAAACTCTATGCTTGGACCCTTGCCAGGAGTAAATAAGTCAAGGAAGTACTTACGTACCTTGCTCTGTCACAGGATTTCTTTTGGCCCTTTTTCTTCTTCCCCATTTCTCGCAAAAAAAGATATGTATAAATTGCTTTCTCTGCCTTCTGGCGTTGACAGCGCGTTGAGGAGTTGCGTTACAAAGCGAGAAAAGTGACTTGAGATTCATATTACGGTGCCCTCAGCAGTTAATAAGTTAAGAATATGATACCATGTTTTCGTCAAACAACCAGGACTTCGTATGACAGGAACTGCCGCCAGCCGGAAGCAAGAATAGGTAATGTACCTCGGCCAGGAAATTCTATGGACACAAACCTTATTAAGGGGAAAAATATTGTGCTAAGAAATTTTTAGACCGTGTAATAAATCTGATCCCTGATTTGGGCTCAAAAGCCTTGTGATCCCTGATCCCATTCTTCTGAGCCCTGAGCCCTCTCCTCTGAGCCCTGATCCCAGTCATATTTTGGGCTTTGAGCCCTGAGCCCATATACCATGTTACGACCCTGGGCACAAGGCCTCTCTGCTCACTGCAACAAGAAAGTTGGAAAACATATCTAGCCAATTTAAACAACCTTCCTTTTGCGTTTTAAACTGTGCGTTGAAATTGTCTTTGTTTGCATGTACTAATTGAGTTGGGAACCATGAAAAGTGCCGCTGTTTGAATCAACAGTCAAATTTCAAACAACATGGCTCATGATCAGATAATGCAAAAGGCGCAGAATCTCGAAGTTTTAAGAGGACGTTACCTAGTTCAGCTAACTTTTTAAAAACATGTTTTAATAAAAAGACTGAATGTTCTATTAGTTATAAAATTATTTCACTGTTATGTTATCGCATTGGCACAAGGAGGGAATAATTCTAATGTTCTTCTTCTATGCACTTTTAGATGCTTTCAGGTACTTTATTGATGACTTTTATGCTTGGGGAAGATATTTAGACTAACAAAACTGTCGATACCAGGTTACTCACCTTGCACAAAGCGTAATTATAGCATTGCTTACAGGACGAACTTTCACGAAAATATACCAAGACTAGCTTTAAGAGTGTTGTATTAAACACCTGCAGCCAACCCCAAAAATTGAGCTCAAATGACCCTTACAGGAGCCCTTAGCTGACTACTAACGAGAATAAATAAGCACGAATAACTCTTTCTTAATGGTGAACGAGATTGCCGAGCTAGTGACACTACAACATTTTAAGTCAATCGAACGTCAATATAAGTTTTTATCTCCATTGCCAATATAAATATTATTGCACCAAACTTGCAATCACCTACAGTCGGCTATAGCTAGTGTCACACAGTGTGTCATATCAATGCGAATAGGTCAAAAGTTTAAAAACACAGCAAGTTTCACTTTTCCCGATAAATCATCTTGAAATTGCTTAAGAATGTAATAATCTTTTCCGGACTTCAGTAAAGTGTAATGTGTTAAGCACCATGAAGGCACACATCTACCAATGAAATGGTTACCGTTTAGATAAACTTTTCTATCGTTTTTTAGACTCTCAGAACTCACGGAATTATTTCATCGCACGGTTAAACCTATATGGCTCATAATAAAAACAATGTTTCTCCAACATTTTTTGTTTTTGTAGCCTTTTCTATTTCTAGGTTTTAGTTTAAGTTTATAATACTAAAGACTTGCTGTAAATTTTGCTTTGCTAGCCTTTTTGATACCTTACTCCTCTGTATAGACGCCCCCTCTCCTCAGAAAAAATCTCTCTCCCCGATTTTTTATTTTTTAAGGGGAGGGGGCGTCTATTTAAGGCTATACCCTTTATTCTTTTTTATAAAGTGATAGATCGTTAGAGTCGACTGTTTGGGATGTTTTTTTTTTTTTCAAGAAACAGTTAAGACCGAATATAATTATCAAACGGTTTTTTATAAATAATAAATTTCTCAAAATTTTTACCCCTACTAATCTAGGTGGCTTTCTAATTTTTATAAAGTTGCTTAACAACCCTACCATTCTGCCGACTCTGCTTTATTTGACTAAACTAGCGTCGAAGGCACAACTAGATTAGATAAGTGGGGGATCCTTCACAACACGAATTTGTCAGCAAAGGTGAAAAACTGTACAGAAAATACGTGAGCGAACGTCGAGTTATTTATAAACTTCTACGCAAGGCTGCTGTACTCAACTAATTATGATATAACTTGTTCTGCTCACACAGTTCTAGTAACTAGAACTGCTTCGCAATGACAGGAACAACTGTGTAATTAGTGGCATAAGCCCTAAAAGCGCTGTAGCTGTCACAGTAGTCGAGAAAGCTAAAACAGATAAAAACATATTAATTTAATACACGTGTTGTTTCGGAAACTATGTAAATAAAGCACAAGGGAAGCTTTTTTGCTTCGGTTTTGTGGGAAAAAATCCTCCATTAAGCTTTAATCAGGCTGCAATAATTAATGTATTAAATAACAAATGCAAAACTATCACACGTACACACAAAATTGAAATCGAGAGAGGAATTTCTCCAAGTTTTCTTTTCCTGAAAGTTATTCGGTTTTAACAAATTCAAATAAGTGCATTGATTGAAAGTGTGAACTTAAGATTTTATGCAAAATACCCGGTACTGAAAAGAAAAGGATAAAAAGTTATCGAATACACAGAGCTACCTGCTGAAACAGATGTCAGCCAAGACAGTCGAAAATAAAGTTAACACAGCCTGGAAGAAGATCTGCCTACAAAATGAATTCCCTCCCTTTGTCCAGAACATATAACCCCTTTTATGGGGTTTCTTTAACTCGTGATTAAACTCCTAACTTGGGGTCATTTTTACACCTGAAAAAGAGGTCTTTTAACTCCCAGTCTGGAGTTTAAATAACTCCGAAAATGGGTTATTTTTACTCCTTACATGGGTTGTTTTTACTCTTTTTGCAGTTACTTTTACTCTGAAAATGGAGTAAAAATTTTAGATACAGGATAACTCCTTTTTGGGGGTTATTTTAACTTCTCAACATCTGGGGTCATTTTTCCTCCTAAAAAGAGTTCTTTAAACTCCTTTTTGGGGTTAAAATAACTCCCCCAAAAAATAACTCCACTGTAAGGAATTAAATTGTCGAATGAACCCCACTAGAGGAGTTATTATAACTCCTTGAAAATTACTATGTAGGGTTCTTGTAATTACCAATCTTGTTTTGAATCAGATATTTGGTGACAAGTACTTTTATCTCAGCAGGGTTTAAAAGAAATAAACCACTGACAGAATCGGCAATTATATAATTTTCCTTGTAACGCGAAATTCGTCTCCGTATTATTAGACGCGCGAAAACAAGTAAGTATAAGGTTTATATTGATCTTTTTTACTTCCTTTTGACTCTATAGTACGAGTTCGCTTTCTTAGAGGGAACTAGTTCGATAAAAGTGAAAGTTTTGCCATATTTTTGCTGTTTTGATTGCTCGTGTAGACATCGGTATCAAACTTCTAGCAGTATCTTTTTTATGAGATTGTTTTTTGTAAGGTAGAGAGATATATACACTGACGTTTATATCCACATTCCCCGTGCGTCGATAATAATTTAAATTGGACTTTTCGATGAGATGAACGTTTTAGTTCATTAATTGTTAACAGTTGTAAGAAGTTCCAAAAAAATAATACGTTATACTAGTTAACTTTCACATCATACCTTGATACATGTATGTCAGTTCTCTTGGGCTAAGTAACACCTTTAGAGCTCTTCCAAACTGACTCTATAAAGCTAATACGTTCTGTGATATCCCCGCACCAGGTGGTTGTAAGAACATGTGACGTAGACATGAACCATTTAGAGGGCACGAATCTCTAAAATCACCTGAGAAATTAATAACTAAATATCGCTCAAAACATTAAAAGAAGGAATAATAAAGACAGTAAATACAAAAGGAGCCAGGGATGGACAAACTTGAAGACGATTGAAAGGCATTGAAATTTTGGTTTTTGAAAACTTTACGGCTTTTCTGAGTTCGTGCGTCGATAATAATTCAAATTAATATTGGACTTTTCGATGAGATGAACGTTTTAGTTCATTAGTTGTTAACAGTTGTAAGAAGTTACAAAAAATAATAATGTGTTAAAATAATTAACTTTCACATCATACCTTTATATGTCAGTTCTCTTGGGCTAAGTAACACCTTTAGAGCTCTTCGAAACTGGCTCTATAAAGCTAATACGTTCTGTAATATCCCCGCACCAGGTGGTTGTAAGAACATATGACGTAGACATGAACCATTAAGAGGGCACGAATCTCTAAAAACCACCTGAGAAATTAATTACTAAATATCGCTCAAAACGTCAAAAGAAGGAATAATAAACGGCACAGCAAATACAAAAGGAGCCGGGGATGGACAAACTTGAAGACGATTGAAAGGGATTGAAATTTTGGTTTTTGAAAACTTGCTAGCCTAACAGCCTTTCAGAGTTCGTTTTTGTTGTTTATAAAGTTTGATATAATACTTGGGAGACGAGATTGACTAATTGGCGTGGGTGGGTGGGTAGTGCGTTGTGGGTCGTGGGTCGTGGGTCGTGCGTCGTGCGTGATAGCTCATGCCTCTTAGACAAGACTCTTGCTCGTAGAATTTAAAGACACCGTCTTCCTTTACACGACCCTTCGCATTCATAAAAAAGTTTCTCCGATAAAAATCAGTAAAGCAAATTTCTGAGCGAAAAATGTTCTCCCCGGTCCTCACCCATTTTCCCTTATGTTCCTCGCACACTGCGTTCTTAATGAAATGCACATGCGTCCAAGAAAACCACTTCCGGTTAAAAGAAAACTCTAAGATAATCGCGGCTTTTGTTTTACATTCTATCTCGCGGGAAAAAAACTTCCAGTATGTTTTTTAGATCAAATTAGGCACTAAGTTTAGGGAAGACAATTCCATAAAAAAAATTACGACCAATCATCATCACTTATTAATAAACACTTCAATTCTACCTTTGACCCTCGCGTACCCAGTTTTTCGCCATTAATGTTAATCATTTACACGAATTTTCACCACTTCACCACCTCTGCTAGCAAATTTCCTCGGATACTAAAAGTTGTGATAAAAAAATGCAGGCTGCATCAACTAACAAATAATGAAAGCGTGTTAATTTTGTAAGGAGAGAGTTTCCCATGAATTCTCTATCTGCCTCGGACTTCTTGTCTGGCTTTTAGGTGTTGCCTTTGAAGTTGTCACTTTTAGCCGTAATTTACATTGAATTTGCATTGAAATGTTTTAGTTTTTTTAAATCATACACATTTCTCTTTCAATGTTGTAGTAATTAATTTCTGAATAATTATACAGCTTAGTCACTGAATAACTGGATCTTTGGCCTCTTCAAATACCAACCGTCCGTAGTTTTAAGTTCTGACATTTTAACGAAACCTGAGCAAAGGAAACTCGAATTCTTTTGCACAGCTTTACTGCTGAATCTCTGGAAGTTTCCGAAATTCATTTCCTTGACTAAAATTTAATTTTGAGTCATTTACTTTAGCTTATAAACTTTAACGCTGAATTTATCCAGATATGTTTTCAGTTTTCAGCTGATTCAGGCTTCTACCCACCGGTTTTGTGATGTTTGTTGTAACTATAAGTTGATCGGTTAGTATAAATAGAGCACTGTTATCCCTGTTTTTCGGTTTACACTGCGGATTTACATGCGATTGATGATTTACATTTTGGATACACATATATGTATCATTTACGTCCAAGAGCTGAATATTAAACGTAGTCCATGCTTGAGTGCTGTCCTGTTTCCAGTTGTAGCAGATCCTAGTAACTTGGAACAGTGACGAGTTCCTTTCCCGCTAGCCAAACGAGTTGCAGAGTTAGTTTTCCCCTTTGTTGTTCATACGCCGAAGCCGCTCGAATTCTCTTAACGCTTATTTCTCCGATAGGTGCTTGGAAGGGCAAAACCTATCGGGGGTGTTACGAAAACTCAGACCTCGAAAACACAGACCTCAGACCCTAAAAAACTCAGACCCCCGGGTGCCTCGAAAACTCAGACTCCCGAAAAACTCAGACCCCTTGGTGTCTCGAAAACTCCGACCCTCAATATTTTTCAAATATTACAACTAACTGTAGTCCGCGAGCAGCCTCTCTCTCTTTTCCATCTACAGAAGCGAATGGTTTTGCTGAAATACCGCCTGAGCGAAAATTCGCACTGGCAAACAATTTCGACAAAACCAGATTTTTGATCTAGAGCAATGAAGTTTTGTTCCACAGGTGAAAGATTCGACCCTAGCTGAGGGAACCATATATTGGACAAAAAAGGTTACTTTGGAACTCGAGTTAGAACTCCTCAAACAAACAGTAGCTGAGACTCTCATAAACCTTTTTTGTTTCTGTTTCCCGTCCTTCCTGTCCCGTCAACGAGAACGCTTGTTGTCCAGGCCAAAGGAAGATCAAATAAAGAAAAGTAATTTTATAATTGTTGGTTTGCGGGAATAAAGATGTGTTCTGAAAATAAACAGTTGAAAGATCCCTTCGGACAACCTGCGTTAGGAGTGAGCCCACTTTTGGTGGAGAGAATGGGTACATTGGAATAAGTTGCCATTACTAAAACAGAAAGGAAAAATACTGATAGATTACAGTTTTGTACATTATTGACGACCCCTTCTTTGTCCCACCTCTCTGAAATTCGCTTGCCATCCAGGACATCATAAATGGCACTCGCATATAGACACATTTTCCAACAACTATTTGTTGTAGTATTAATTGGACAGTCACTAGCCTGCGAGAATGCTCTTCATTTTGGAGCAAGGTGGGCCTATCTTGCCGCTCGGGTAGCTAATCAGAACACAGGATTCGCTTAATCTTACCCGTTCGAGGATTAAGCCATACGATAATTAGACAATGCGACACGACAGCTGGATCTGATCCGTCCCCAGTCGTCTTCGTGTAAAGCGCGGCGGGAGCAGGGGCTGATGGGAAGGGAGAAGAGAGGAAAGTGTCTCTCTTCCGCGCTTTCCTCCTTCCCATCACACACCGGGCGCCACTAGTGTGGGGTTGTGACAGACATATGGGGAAGAGTCAGTAGATGGCTCGGCAAAGGCATCCATCTGCAACAAATGAGGATTAGGTAAAGTAAAATGGTCGACTTAAGACTCTGATGATATGATACATTTGTTTAAACAGCAGTCCAAAAATAATTAATGTTTTTCGATGCAGCAGTCACTGATTTCAGTTCGTCTGTAAACAAGTAGGCGTTAGAAACTACAATTATTACTTACAGGAAATTTCAGAGGTATTATTTGCCCATGTTTTGTCTATTGTTAATAAAATCTGAGTTGCAAGTTTACCCAAATCTGGCAGTGTCAATGACGTCACAATCAGACCTGCTATACTGAAATGAATCAGTTTTACATTAATGCCTCTTTTTGATATCACATCATCTAATAACAACACTGCGATCGGATATACTATCAGCGCCCTTTTTACAATACATTTTATGCGTGCTATGGCGCAGCAGGTATACAAAATTCAAAGTTAAACTAGGCATGCTTTTTGAACTAAACTAAATAGAGGGTCGAAGAGGAGAAAGATATAGGCAAAGTGAAAACGTGTTTTTCCGTGCTTATCTTTCAGCTTATTGCCAACAAGCCATTGGCGAGGCGGCAGCAGAATAGAGCCGCGCAAGACTTGGCAATAGGCAAAAAAATTCTCGATCGAGCTTCAAAAAGTGTAACCCGTAACCTGGTGTAAGATTCCCCTGAGACCAATGGTGTGGCAGTTGTCAACCAATCAAAAGGCGTTACCTGGCGCTCGGGCTGAAGTTGAATGTGGTGCGGTTTTAAAAATACAAAATTTCGCACAAGCTTCCTATGTTTATTTAACTGAACCTGGCCCCGGCAGTCAAGAAACATGATTACCTGATTAATTGGTTTAATTTTGGGGGCCATCAATGTAAAGTTTTAACGAAGAAAAGCTTGTAAAACGATAAAAGTGTTCCACGTGAAACAAGCAATTCTCACCACACTAAAAAGGACCAGATTACACGAGGAGAAAGCTTGATACGAAGAATATAGTCACTTCTGTTGGAAAAATCTGATGTTGGGGAAAAAATCTAAACAGCAAACGAAAAACTAAGAAAAAAACAAGAATTACAAGCCTAAAGCGAACGACAGAGGAAAAGAAAACAACTCTATCTGTTTCGAAACCTGGCCGAGTTATGAAATGAAAATAAAACACCGACGGGCCGTACATCACATGTCCTAGTAAACATTTCAAACAGAGCAGCGAATCATTCTAAGTTTCAATCGGGTAACAACTAGCCTCGGGAAATTTGAAAGGAGGTTTAAATGGTTAAACTGCACAAATATTTATCTACAAAGTGAAACCGAACCGACAGTAATTAAATTTTGTAGCTGCACTGGTAAGAGAAATGATCATGCTTATTTCCCAGTAAATAAGCAATTCCTTTCTTCTGCAAATAAATCCCCGTCATGACACTTCAAACTATAATATAGCAGGTTCGTAAAGCCACAGTCTGAGGACTGACTCTTCTCCGGAACCTTGATACATGCATAACACCTTTTTATTGACAGTGAAGAAAATAATCGTTGCAAAAGGAAGGGACCAAGAAACTGTCAAATCTGGAAAAAAAGGAATGCCATTCCTATGCGGGCAAAATACGCATGATTTACTCGTTGGCACTATATCGATTGGTATACCTAGCTAGTGCAGTTGTTAAAAAATATATATATTTTTAGTTTGTTATTATAAACTATCCTAATTAGCCCAATAAGATGCGAAAACGAAGACGAACTGACTCGACTAAAGAAACAGCTGTACCAACACTGTACATATAAAATGCCAATTGGGGTGTAGGACCGATCGGTGTGCAAAAGGAACAAAAAAAAGAAAACACTGCATTTTATGTCTTTGTCACTTAACTGGAAAAAGTAAAATTAGTAACAAATACATTACACAAAAAGAATCAAATTTTACACGGTCAGGCCCAATTCAGATCGAAGCAGAACGTTTCATGAGCTGAACCTAAAACATTAAATTAAGTACATGAAAAGTTTGGCGTCTGAATCAATAAGGAACGCATATTTCAATTTGGAACGGCTCAGCCATTCTTCCCTCCTAGCCCGGCTAGGAATTTCGACTTTGGTTCATACACCGAACTTTTCATGTGCCGAACTAAATGCATAAATTATTATAAAGTATTTGCAAGCAGTTTGACCGAAATGAGCATTTTTCTCGTTTTGAACTTAATTCGGAGTCTGAATCTATTGAACAGGTCAAAGTAACTTGGGTCGGCCTTAATTTGAATTAGGTTCGGCTCAAGAACAGCTGATGATAGTTATTGCTCAACTTGCGGTAATTCTTAGCTCAGCTTAAGAAAATACAGAACCGCCTGATTGTATCTTTTACTACTCTCCTTACTTCTCTGATCCTCCAACAGTACAGGAGCGGGTTCAATGTTGAGTTTAAGTAAACTACAGTTCCTGTATACTGCCTGGCAAGATAAATTGACAAAGGCATCCCTCTCTGAGGTGTTAACGCTGCCACTACAGCAAACGGCAGATAACAAACAACCAATGTTACCTGTATCCAGATCGCACTGTACACTACCTTTCTGTATCGAACTATGTTCGGTGGAATTGCTTGGCTCGGTTGACTTTGATGCATGTGAATCTGATTACGCCGCAAAGTGAAAAAAATTTTTGTGTAAGCGAAAACTGAGGTGACTAGACACACACATATGCCTAGGTGATAAAACCACAACCTTATGCGAGGATCCCAAAAATTGCCTGCCGCGATCAAAAAGGACAAAACCCAGATAGAGATTACAATTACAAGTGTTCTCTTAAATGTTACAAAATTTCTGTATCTGAGCCCCAGTGACAGCGCCAGGAGTCTGTCCACGCTTATTGCAGTTGATATTGCCAAAGACACTGAGCATAAAGTGTTGCTTATGATAAAATTTGCCTTAGTCGCGTAATAGCAAATATTCCATCTTTGCTTCACCACAGACATCCAATGGACAACGCTCGTAGGCTCTACAATGACACCAACACAGATATCAGTTGTCGCCAAGCTACCAAACAAAACTTTGGAAGGAAGATGAAGCGAAGACACCTTAGGCAGAGCTGCTAGGATCAGAGTGTTGCCCAGAAACGCGGTAATGGACAGAAAAATATTTAACACTGAAATAAAAATCAACTCGCTGTGTACTTTTCCAGTGAACTCTCCAGAGCAATAAAGTTCAGTTGTTAATTTCTGGCTTACTTCTCCAGTAAAATTTTTTAACACCATTTTTTTCTTTTAAGTTCGAGTTTCGAGTGTGCAATCCTACGTGACTAGTTTCTTTAAATGTTTGCTGTATTCGATATTAATCTTCTTTCTTCTTCACGGTCTTAGTCAGCATAATACCACGTGACCAACCACCTGGAAAGGGATCTTTAAAAGGCAAAATCAAGCGTTTCATAATGTAAGTAAATATGTCACTTTGGTGTGCGAGAACTGATACTTCTAATCATATCGTTTCTAAATTCTGAACGACGTTAAACCATTGAAGATTGACAGCTGGCTCCGGTTGTTCAAAAGATGAATAGAGAGCTTAAACAGGAGACGTTCGCCGGCCTGAAGTCACTCGCGCCAGTGTGAATATACTACGCATGTGTTTACGTCCGTGAGTGGTTAAATTGTTGGCTTAAAACCAAGAAAAGACCCTTCCAACATTCATTCAGCGTTTTCAGAGATGTAAACATCAGGTTAACGTTAACAGTCTCTAACGCTATTTCCGGACTCGATAGGTTGACCAGAGCTACCTCTTGCTGTGTGATGAAGAACTCGAAGATGGCAAGATTTACGAGATTTGCCGAAAATTTACTCGATCTCGTCCATGCGAATCATCATCAAGTGAACACACATCCTACGTAAGAGGGCTTCATCTTCTTGTAACTTTAAGGGCCGATATTTTCTACGGCATGAATTGCTATTTTCTTTTTAATGAAAAAATATTAAATTAAAATGTTATGACTACATGTTTTTGTGCATCGGGTTGATAACATGTAACCTGAAAACGATTTTTAGCTAGACGCGTGTGATTTTGGCGCAATCAACGTTGAAAATGAATAGCAAACTAAATTTCATTTGTGATTAATGAAACTGCAAATAAAATGGACCGCCAAACTTCGCTATCAGGTATGGTAACTTTTGTTTGCTTGATTTGTGTCTATACAATCAAAGAGTACAAGACGGCATTTCACGCTCGGCGAATAAATGTAAAAGATGAAATATTCATATCAGAATGGGACAAAGAAAATGCACGAATCTACTTCAGCGACAAAGATCTTTCTGAAATTCGAAATGCTATGACTGAAGACATTTTCAACACAGACAAGACGTCGCGCAGTGGCTTACGTTATACAAAACTCGTTGCTTAATCTTCGCTTTTCGCGCCGCAAACGCCGTACTCGTGTACTCGATCCAGACCGGGCGCAACCTTCCTAACGTACGTGACCTCAAGAACGTCCGCTGCTTAAGCTGTCTAATAACGCTATCCACTGGATAAATCTCTATACAGCGGATAACACAATTGGTTTTCCTAATACGAATTCGCTGGAGAGCGGTGATTTATAAAAATTATTCGGTGTACATTGTAATCCATTGTTTGAACTGGGGCATGGTGGGTAAAATGTCACCGGCTCGCTAAGCTACGGGAATTGTCCACTTACAGGAATGTAAGTGTCGCCAGTGCCGGGGTCGTTGATGCTAGGTTAAAGTCCTGGTAACGGAATTGTACTTTTTACCCGGAATGGTCGTATCAGGAGGGGTTTTGACCAAAGCTTAAGCGTATAGAGTGTTTTCACATGACGTCATGGCAGCCATATTGGTGTCACAAAACATAAAACGGCGGCCATGTTGGTGTCGCAAGCCAGTCCTGTGGGAGTTGAACTCTTTTCTTATGAAAATGTTTTCTTTTGTTCAAATATATTTGCATAGATGCTGGCCACGTGAGTGAAAACGTTCTATACTCGCCTCCTGTTTTAAACTTGAAAACTGAACACAAAGTGCGAGTTAATTGAACGGCCAATATAAGAATTTGGGAAAGGAAACAACATTGATGGCGAAATGATTAATTTCAGGATAGAGTGCTACCCAAAAAGACGCATAATACTGTATTATAAATTAACCATTAACTTAGTGTTATTCGCCTAAGGCGAAGTGAATATTCACTGACCTGTCAAGAGTAAGCTAAGTTTACCAACATGACTGATCTTGAAACCAATAATGAGAGAGAAAACAACAGGAACTGACACAAAATATTTGACAATTCAGTCTCAATTATCCACGCATTCAGCATAAATGTTGACTCATAGTGAAGCAATACAATAATTTCTTTCCTGAAAAACTGCCTTTTTTCGCCCGTCGTTTTGTGAAGAATCACTTTTAGAGATACCTTATTCTAGTTAATTTTCTCTATTTTTGAGAAATTTAATGTGGGCGTACAAAAGATTCCCGATTCTAAGCGCGCTAAATTTCACCCCACAATAGTATCAAAATGATAAGAGTTTTAAGTGCTCTGAGTCCGGGCCTTGTGATGAATTGTTCTGAATTCTTCTGGTTCACTGCTTTCTTCAGCTTGTAAGTTAGCCAAAACCTCTTTAGTGCAGCCATCAAAGTCCCATTTAGGGTTCTTGTAATTACCAGTCTTTCTTTTAATCGGATATTTGGTGACAAATACCTTAATCTCAGGGTTTAGAAAAAATAAAACACTGACAGAATCGGGAAATTTAATTTACTGCACTTTTTCTTTAATATTCTTGTAACGCGAAATTCGTCTCCGTATTATTAGACGCGCGAAAACAAGTAAGTATATGGTTTATATTGATCTTTTTTACTTCCTTTTGACTCTATAGTACGAGTTCGCTTTCTTAGAGGGAACTAGTCCGATAAAAGTGAAAGTTTTGCCATGTTTTTGCTGTTTTGATTGCTCGTGTAGACCTCGGTATCAAACTTCTAGCAGGTTACGAGCAAGATTCATAAATGCAGTAACTTTTTTATGAGACAGTTTTTTGAAAGGTAGAACGTCTAGAGATGTACAAGCATACACTGACGTTTATATCCACATCCCCGTGCGTCAATAATAATTCAAATTGGACTTTTCCATGAGATGAACGTTTTAGTTCATTAATTGTTAACAGTTGTAAGAAGTTCCAAACAAATAATAACATGTTAAAATAATTAACTTTCACATCATACCTTGATATGTCAGTTCTCTTGGGCTAAGTAACACCTTTAGAGCTCTTCAAAACTGACTCTATAAAGCTAATACGTTCTGTGATATCCCCGCACCAGCTGGTTGTAAGAACATGTCACGTAGACATGAACCATTTAGAGGGCACGATTCTCTAAAATCACCTGAGAAAATAATAACTAAATATCGCTCAAAACATTTAAAGAAGGAATAATAAAGACAGTAAATACAAAAGGAGCCAGGGATGGACAAACTTGAAGACCATTGAAAGGCATTGAAATTTTGCTTTTTGAAAACTTTACGGCTTTTCAGAGTTCGTTTTTGTTTGTTATACATTTATAGGGCGTTTGATATTATGCTTGGGAGACGAGATTGACTAATTGGCGTGGGTGGGTGGGTAGTGGGTCGTGCGTCGTGCGTCTTGGGTAGTGCGTTGTGCGTCGTGCGTCGTGCGTAATAGCTCATACCTCTTCGAGGAGACTCTTGCTCACACGACCCTTCGCATTCATGAAAAAGTTTCTGCGATAAAAATCAGTAAAGCAAATTTATCAGTGAAATATGTCCTGTTCGCAGGCTATGTCCTCCCCGGTCCTCTCCCATTTTCCCGTATGTTCCTCGCACACTCTGCGTTCTGAGTCTTAATGAAATGCACATGCGCCCATTAAAACCACTTCCAGTTAAAAGAAACTCTAAGATAATAGTGGCCTTTGTTTCATATTCTATGTCGTTGGAAAAAAACCTTCCAGTATGTTTTTTAGACCAAATTAGGCACTAAGTTTAGGGAAGACAGTTCCATAAAACAAATTACGACCAATCATCATCACTTATTAATAAACACTTCAATTCTACCTTTGACCCTAATCACAGATCTAGTGGCAGTCTCTGTATAGAGGTTTTAACTTGAGCTGATCACAGTTGTTCGTAGGCCTAGTACATACACTTCCAGGAAAAATCACAGCGTGTGAAAACGTTCGTGCCCTCGATTTTCCGGGCTTTTTCTGGGAGCTATTCGATCTCAGATGATATTAAATAATCTCGTTACGAAATTGAAGACATAAACATATGCTTTTTTGGTTTGTTTTTGAAACCTTTAGGGAGCGATCGTTTATTACGTCCCAGGGATGGGGGGTTCAGAAAAGTGTGGTGTATGAAAACCGTACCCCCTAAAAGAATTTCATATGAAAATTGTACCCCCCCCCTTGGCGACAACCAATTTCTCGGTTCCTTTTCGGTTCCAGACTCACGCTACACAAATTCGCCCTTTTTTTGGATTCAAACCGTAACGCATGTAGCAATTCTGAGGTAAACTGGTATTTCGCTTACCATTATGCTTTCTACTCCCCGAAAGGATTTTTCTGTCAAATAGTAAGCACCCCAAGTTTTAAGATGACTCGATTTTCTCTCCTTCTTTGGACATTGACTTCATATTAAAGCTAGATGGTGTTCTGGTAGTCTGGTTAGGTAAAAATAGTTAATGGGGTCCTGGGACAAGCTTGGTCACATAGCATTCAAAATGGCGGCTACCAAATCAAGTGAAGATGCGGATCCTGAAGATGCACGTCAGGTGGGGCTCAGCTGGCATGAGAAACGGCGTGAAGTCCGAGAAAAGTCAACGAAGGGAAAGTATTTTAGATCTTCACTCCAGAATCTTGATAATAATGAAATTTTGTTATTGCTGGAGTCTATTCCGCAGAGGTCAAAGCAAGGGACGCAGACCGCGAATTGTACAGTTGGAGGTCTGAGAACAGTACAAGAACATCTGATGCATGGATATGGATACTTACATTGGTTAGAAGCCTACAATCTATATTCTTCATTCAGTGAATTTTCCTGTCCAAATAATAAACAAGCCTTCAGAGATAAATTGCTTGATCCTCATCACGGTTTGCCTGTCTACAAAGAGTTGTCAGCGCGACTTTTTGGTTTAATAATGAAGGAAAAGTGGTTTTTTTTGTTTCAATTATGATATGTTTTAACAACTACAATATATAATGTCAATCCTGTGTCTTAAAATCTCGAACCCCCTCACACTTTGTACATTTTCAAAACTGACCCCACAAAATTAACCCTTTTCAAAAATTGTACCCCCTTAGACGTTGAACTAACTTAGAACAAACGCCATTGAATCGTAGCCAACAGTTACCAGCGCCTTACAAACGACTTATTGCCGAGATCAAGCAAAACTAACTACGACAGAATGACAATTTGACTAACAATAGACGACTGTTTAACTGTGACAATAGACGGATCGAAACGCACCAATTACTGATTACGAGTCTTCTTAGCCAATAACATGACGACGTAATTGACCAATCCTATCAATAACCAGAGTATAATACCATCAACTGACGTGATACAACTCACTTTGACTCTGAAGATGACTACCGCACAGGTTGTTGAAACGTCAGTCACTGTCAACAACAACAGTCCTATTCAGGACTACGTTCACCCGGACGATCAAACTCAACCTACTTTTGAGAGAGCTTTTTCTTGCGGGACCGAAGCGGGAAATCCCGAGCAGGCAAGGTGGGCCTATCTTGCCTTCTCGGGTAGCTAATGAAAACACAGGATTCGCTTAATCTTGCCCGTTCGAGGATTCAGTCATATGATAATTAGACAATGCGACACGACAGCTGGATCTGACCCGTCCCCAGTCGTCTTCGCGTAAAGCGCGGCGGGAGCAGGGGCTGATGGGAAGGGAGAAGAGAGGAAGAGTCTCCCTCTTTCTCGCTTTCCTCCTTCCCATCCTACACCGCGCGCCACTAGTGTGGGGTTGTGACAGACGAATGGGGACGAGTCAGTAGACGGCTCGGCAAAGGCATCCATCTGCAACAAATGAGGATTAGATGAATGGTCGACTTAAAACTCTGATGATATGATAGAGTTGTTTAAACAGCAGTTCCGAAAATAATTAATGTTTTTTTATGCAGCACCGATTTCAATTCCGGTCTGTAAACAAGCAGGCGTTTAAAAACTGCAATTATTAGGTATTATTTGAACATGTTTTGTCAATTGTTAATAAAATCTAAGCTGCAAGTTTACCCAAATCTGACAGCGTCAACGACGTCACAATCAGACCTGATATACTAAAATGAATAAGTTTTAAATTAGTTTGAATGATATTCCATATCACATCATCTAATAGCACTGCGATCGGATATACTATCAGCGCCCTTTTTATAATACATTTCATGCACGCCACCGCGCAGCAGGTATACAAAATTCAAAGTTAAACTGGGCATGCTTTTAAACTAAACTAAATAGAGGGTCGAAGAAAGATAGATGCAAAGTGCCGGAAAAGGTGTTTTCCGTGCTTATCTCTCAGCTTATACAGTACTTAAAAATTATTTTTTTAGTTTGTTATTATAAATTGTCCTATTTAGCCAATAAGATGCGAAACGAAGACGAAACTAGACTAAAGAAACACGAGCTGTACCTACACCGTACCTATAAAATGCCACTTGGGTTATAGGACAGTCGGTGTGCAAAAGTAAAAAAAGGAAAACACTGCATTTTATGTCTCCTTTACTTAACTGGAAAAAAATAGAATAAGTAACAAATACACTACACAAAAAGAATCAAATTTTACACGGTCAGGGCCGGTTCAGACGCCGAACGTTTCATGAGCTGAACCTAAAACACTGAATTAAGTACATGTCGAAAAGTATGGCGTCTTAATCAGTAAGGAACGTCTATTTCAATTTGGAACGGCTCAGCCATTCTTCCCTTCTAGCCCGGCTAGGAATTTCGACTTTGGTTCATACACCGAACTTTTCATGTGCCGAACTAAATGCATAAATTATTATAAAGTATTTGCAAGCAGTTTGACCGAAATGAGCATTATTTTTTCTCGTTTTGAATTTAATTCGGAGTGTGAATCTGTTGAACCGGTCTAAGTAACTTGGGTCGGCCTAAATTCGAATTAGGTTTGGCTCAAGAAAAGTTCGGCTTCTGAACCGGGTCTCAGAACACCTGATGATAGCTATTGCTCAACTTTCGGTAATGTGTAGCTCAGTTTAAGAATACAGAACCACCTGATTGTATCTTTTACTACTCTCCTTACTTCTCTGATCCTCCAACAGTACAGGAGCGGGTTCAATGTTGAGTTTAAGTAAACTACAGTTCCTGTATACTGCCTGGCAAGATAAATTGACAAAGGCATCCCTCTTTGAGGTGTTAACGCTACCACTAAAGCAAACGGCAGATAACAAACAACCAATGTTACCTGCACCCACATTGCACTGTACACTGCCTTTCTGTATCGAACTATGTTTAGTGGAGTTGCTTGGCTCGGTTGTGTTTGAGACATCTGATTCTTAGCTTTAATCTGATTACGCCGCAGAGTAACGAAAATTTTTGTATAAGCGAAAACTGAGGCGACTAGACACACAGATATGCCTAGGAAATAACACCATAACTTTATGCGAGGATCCCAATAATAGCCTGCCGTGATCAAAATGGACAAAACCCACAAAGAGATTACAGTTACAAGTGTTCTCTTCAGTGTTACAAAATTTCTGTATCTGAGCCCCAGTGACAACGCCAGGAGTCTGTCCACGCTTATTGCAGTTGATATTGCCAAAGACACTGAGCATAAAGTGTTGCTTATGATAAAATTTGCCTTAGTCGCGTAATAGCAAATATTCCATCTTTGCTTCACCACAGACATCCAATGGACAACGGTCGTAGGCTCTACAATGACACCAACACAGATATCAGTTGCCGCCAAGCTACCAAACAAAACTTTGGAAGGCAGATGAAGCGAAGACACCTTAGGCAGAGCAACTAGGATCAAAATGTTTCCCAGAAACGCGGTAATGGACAGAAAAATATTTAATACTGAAAGAAAAATCAACTCGCTGTGTACTTTTCCAGTGAACTCTCCATTGCAATAAAGTTCAGTTGTTAATTTCTGACTTACTCCTCCAGTAAAATTATTTAACACCATTTTTTCTTTTTTAACTTCGAGTTTCGAGTGTCCAATCCTACGTTGCTAGTTTTTCAAGAGTTTGCTGTATTCGATATTAATCTCCTTTCTGCTTCACGGTCTTAGTCAGCATAATACCACGTGACCAACCACCTGCAAAGGAAACTTTAAAAGGCAAAATCAAGCGTTTCATAATGTAAGTAAACATGTCAGTTTGGTGTGAGAGAAATACTTCTAATCATATTGTTTCTAAATTGTGAACGACGTTAAACCATTAAAGATTTACAGCTGGCCTCGGTTGTTCAAAGGAGAATCAAGAGCGGCAAACGTTCCAGTGTGAATATACTACGCACGTGTTTACGTCCGTGAGTGGTTAAATTGTTGGCTTAAAACCAAGGAAAAACCCTTCCGACATTCATGCAGCGTTTTCAGCGATGTAAACATCGGGTTAACAGTCTCTAACTCTATTTCTGGACTCGACAGGTTGACCCTGCTAGCTGCAGCTGTGTGCAGAACTCGAAGATGGCAAGATTTACGGGATTTGCCGAAGAGTTACTCGATCTCGTCCACGCGAATCATCATCAAGTGAACACACATCTTATTTAAGAGGGCTTCATCTTCTTGTAACTTTAAGGGCCGATATTTTCGACAGCATGAATTGCTATTTTCTTTTTAATGAAAAAAGATTAAATTAAAAATGTTTTGACTACATTTTTGACATGTTTTTGTGCATCGGGTTGATTACATGTAACCTGAAAACGATTTTAAGCTAGACGCGTGTGATATTTGGCGCAATCAACGTTGGAAATGAATAGCAACTAAATCTAACTTGCGATTAATGAAACTGCAAATAAAATGGACCTCTGAACTTCGCTAAGCCTATCAGGTATAGTAATTTTTGTTCGTTTGATTTGTGTCTACACAATCAAAGAGTACAAGACGGCATTTCACGCTCGGCGAATAAATGTGAAAGATGAAATATTCATATCAGAATGGGACAAAGAAAATGCACGAGTCCACTTCAGCGACAAAGATCTTTCTGAAGCTGGAAATGGTATGAGTGAAGACATTTTCAGTACAGAGAAGACGTGTCGCGGTGACTCGCGTTAGACAAAACTCATTCCTTAATCTTCGCTTTTCGCGCCACAAACGCCGTACTCGTGTAGTCGATCCAGACCGGGCGCAACCTTCCTAACCTCCATGACCTCAAGAACAACCGCCGGTTAAGCTGTCTAATAACGCTCTCTACTGGATAAATCTCTATACAGCGGAGAACACAACTGGTTTTCCTGACACGAATTCGCTGGAGAGCGGTGATTTATTCGGTGTACATTGTTATCCATTGCTTGAACTGAGGCATGGTGGGTAAAAGGTGACCGGCTTGCCTAGCTACGGGGAATTGTCCACTTATGGGAATGTAAAAACACAAGAGTTTGTATGGAAATTGAAACGGGGTCTTGTGAAGTAAGTAGAGCTATCCGCCTACGAGAGTGTCCATTAAGCGAGCTTCCATTAATTGTGTATTTCTGTGGGGTCTAGAAGCGCCGAGAGGGATACAAATCAAGGACAAATACTGATTGTGGGATGAGTTTAGCCACAGGAATGGCCCTTTATTTAATTAAAGAATATTAGTTGAAAAAACCGTGAAAGAAGCCAGTAAAGATGATATTAGTACTGTAAACCTTAAATGTAGTTGCCACACCTTAATTCTTAGCTTAATTCTGACTACTTATTTTTTTCAGACTTTCCAACAAACCCTCGTTTGTTAATGATATACGAAATAAATCATATATGAACTGTGGAAATGAAAATTTTTCATTTCATTTCCACAGTTCATATATGATTTATTTCATATATCATTAACACTCATTTCTTTCACGGGAACATATGAACCCACAATGGACCTACTCCCAACGTCAGTGGCTTCATAGCTCAGTTGGTAGAGCATCGCACCGGTATCGCGAGGTCACGGGTTCAAACCCCGTTGAAGTCCTGAATTTTTTTTTCAGGCTTCTTTACGCAATTGCATAAATTGCGTTCACTGCGACGATCATTTCTTCATTTTCAAACCCTCGTTTGTTATATCAAATTTTCAGAATATAATAATAATATTTTGGTGCAGCTCTAAAAACATATTTACTGATCTTTTAAGTGAAAGTTGTCTTCAAACGAAGCAGAAAACACCCACGGCATTTAAAAAGGGCACTACCTATTAAGTAATAATATTAGATCGGTGAACAGCAAAGTTGCCTTACTGAGTCTTTAACAGCTTGCCTCACTTCTCTGATCTTCCAACAGTACAGCAACGGGTTTAATGATGAGTTTAGGAAAACTAAAGTTACTACAAACTGCCTTGTAAGGAAAATCGATAAGGTCACATCTGTTTCATGTGTAACAGCTTCCATTATTACAAACGGCAGATAACAAACGACTGATGTTACAGTAACCCACAATGCATTGGACACTGCTCTTTTGTATCGAGTCATGTTCATTATTTGGTTCAGTTGGCCTTGAGCAAGATGATCCTGGACTTGAACTTGGTTATGACGGAGAGTGAAGAAAATTTTTGTGTAGGAGAAAATTAAGGTGAATAGACATAACGTTAAAGTTAAGTAGACGAACACTGTATGTATAAGAGGATTTCCAAAGAAACTTAACGTGCCGGCTAATGAATAAACCCAAAAAGCAATTAAAAAAGCCAATGTTCTCCTAAAAGTTACAACGTGTCTATATCTTAGCCCCAACAACAGGGCAAGAAGTCTGTCCACGCTTATTGCAGTCACTGTGAGTAAAGATATTGAACAAAAAATACCACTAGTGATAAAACTTATCTGTTCCATGTAAACACAAATGTCGTTTAACACAGACATGGAAGATGCGACATTCAAAGGCTCCGCAATGATACCAACACAGAGATCAGTTATCGCTAGGTTACGATACAGGAGTTTGGACGGCGGATGAAGTGAAGTTTCCATGTGCAGAGCAACTAGGATCAGCGTGTTCCCAAGAAATGCGGTTACTGACACCAAAACATTCACTGCCGAAAGAAAGATAACCTCCTCCTTTTGGTTCCATTTCACTTTCCTCGCACAAAAAGGCTCTATGACCGGTTTTAATTTTTCAGCTTCAGTTAGATTTGTTGATGCCATGTCTTCGCGGGTAAATATCACGTTCGCTTGTTGAAAGACCTCAAACAGATGGCAAAAAAACACTGAGCTATTCTGTTGAAGCAAACACCGCGTGGGGTACGAGACAACCGCATTATTAAAAATGCAAATCCCTTCTTTCTGCAAGGGTCCAACTGCTTCCAACTAACGGATTTTGTATCATATCGTTAACCAGGTGCAAATCACTTCTTAGTCAGAATAATTAGAAGAAAGTTAATTTCAGCATCCTGTCTTGTCATAAAACCGATTCGTAGACGTCCGTTTTAAAATAGTCTCCCTCCTTCTCCTATTTTAGTGCTGTGTTCAACTCCAAAAAATTTAATTTGCATTGCCGTTAAGTTCCGTCTCTGTAAAAATGTCCTTTTCTATTTCAATAATTAATATATGATAACTCTTGCGTTTTGATAAGCTGAGGGTTTGTTGAGTTTATCCCAAATATAGGAGCGAAAAAGTGAAATGTACAGTGTAATTTCATGAAATTTGTGAGAGGTAACAAAGTTGATAAAAGCAATTGAGTTTCGTTGGCTAAACAAATCACGATTTGAGTAGAATCAATTTTCTGACAACGATTTGCATGAAAAGACTGTGGAAAATAAGCTTTCATTGTTATGTACAAGAATTGATATTGCACCAGCATTTAAGGACTTTATTAAAAGGCTAAAAAAACCCAACCCTAAAAAAGCAAGCACGGAAACAAAAACAAACAAAACACCGAACTCGAAGAGAAAAAGGAATTTGCCCCAGTAACGAGGTGCGATGGCTTCTTCTTCATTTCCATTAACTTTGTTTGAGCAGAAACCCGGGAGTCAATCTGAGTAAATATTGTTTTTAATACAATTTGGCAGCTGCTTGGCATTTTGTGAAAGTGATTCTAGCCTATACTGTAAACTTTTCAATGCACTATACTCTTTTATCCATTAACGTCTTTAACCTAAAAACACTGAATAAAACCTTTTAAAAATTTGAGGTGAAACAATAACAACAACAAAAATTATCATTCGAAGCAAATTTTTCTTTCTTTTCTTGGCCGAGAGCCCACCACGTGACCTGCAAATAACTGCTTACAAATAATGGTCTGCTCATGCGCAATGCCGTCCAACAGTGTTTGGCTGCAAATAATATTCTGCTAATGCGTAAAGAAAACCGTGCTTTTCTCCTTCTTGTGATCGCTCTTGCGTGAAAATTTAATGATAAAACAATTATTGAACTCGGTTATCGCAAAATATCGTGATTTGCGAGTATCTCGCAGATCAGTTATTTGCCGAAGCCGAATAATTGATCTGTTCGCCACAGACAATTCACGATATTTTGCTCAACCTCGTCCAATAATTGTTAATTGCGTTACTCATGCCAGTACACAGCAATCCGCCGAATGAGATAAAAAAATCTATTGAGAAGTAAGTTTGTCAGTTGTCAGTTTCTGCCATTGTAGTCCGCCGTTGGAGGTAGGCCTTTCCCCATTGACCTCCAAGTTTTGTGCAACACGGTGCCAGCGTTAACGTTCTGTGAAATTAGGGAGCTTTGGCATCGACGAAGGCGACGGCAGGGAAAACGTCACTTTGAAAAGGCATTCGCGTTTTTTCAAACATTGTCACGTTTATTCCAGTCCGCTGAAAATGTCAAATTTAGGCGAATTTCTTTAGAGTTGATTTCTTGAGGACCGCACCCAAGTTTAGAAAGAGAATGGAAAAAATCGTTGTCGCTTGTTTACGTCCTCCATAAAGCGTGAAATTACCGGTAGGCATTTTCATGTCGTAGTCGTAAAGTGACGGCAAAGAAATGTACAAAAAAGCGTCATGCAGGTGCAAAGTTGTTGTTTTGCTTAACAAACCCATTGCCGTTGCCGTTGCCGTTGCCGTTGCCGTCGTCGTTTCTTTACCATCTAAATCGTCCCTCCATCTCGTCCTTTGTCCGTCCTCGATTTCTTGTGTGTCTCTGGGGCGTCCAGAAAGCAACGTGGGTTGTCCAACGAATGTCAGTGCCTCTCGCCACATGACCAGCTCAATTCCATTTGAGTTTGTTTATCGTTTACACAAAGTAAGTTTAAGGTGTAATGAATGAACTGGTAAAAGTTTCACATAAATTTACCGAACAAATTATACTAACATGACATAAAGCAGAAAACAGCGTTGCTCACCCGTTCTGGTGATGTAAAAAAAACAACAACAACAACAAAAACAACAAAAACAGAAACAAACTAAAACACCATCAACAACAACAAAACAATAAATAATCCAATGCAATAGAAAAACGAACCTCCAGCTAAACATATTTCTTTTTGGTGTAATCACGTTGTTCTATTTGTAAAAAAAATAATTTATACCTGCATGACTTTTAAATACTACCTCCAATGAATGCATGCATGGTAACGCTCGCAAACTATCATACCTTAAAACAAAAGCGATTAATGTGTTTTGAAGGACCCTGTCGCCTGGTTGATTACTTGGTGTACAACATGCTACTCACAAATCTATTCGACTTTCCCGTCACAGCACGTTTGTGTACTTTGACATCCTATCAAAAATAGAATATTTATTTTATTTTTCAGTAAAGGCTGTCTTAAAACAAAGCAGAAATTACCTACTATATTTAGAAAGGTTATGTCAATCTGTTCGGTTAAAAGCAGAGATGTCTTAATGTATCTTTCACAGCTTGCCTCACTTCTCTAATCTTCCAGAGATAAAGCAACGGGTTTAAAGATGAGTTCAGGTAAACCAAGGTTATCACAAAATGCTCTGTAAGGTAAATCGATAAAGTCATCTCTTCTTGAAGGAAAACAGTTTCTGCTACACCATACGGCAGATAACAAACAACCGCTGTTGTGGTTACCCACAACGCACTGGACACTGCTCTTTTGTATCGAGCCATATTCATTATTTGGGTGTGTTGTCCATGAGAAAGATGATCCTGTACTTGAACCTGGTTATGACGGAGAGTGAAGAAAATTTTTGTGTATGATAATACTAAGATGACTAGACACAAGAATAAAGTTACGCAGGTGAACCATAGCAGCTTCTGTACATGTATAAGAGGATTTCCAAAGGAACTTAAAGTGGTGCCAACTGAACAAATCCAAAAAGCAATCAAAAAAGCCAATATTCTCTGAAAAGTTACAACTTGTCTATATCTGAGTCCCAACATCAGGGCGAGAAGTCTGTCCACACTTATGACAGTAAGTGTTAGCAAAGACACAGAGCAGAAGATATTGCTGGCGATAAAACTTATTTGATAGGTGTACACACAAATGTCCCCTCTTTCGTTCAACACAGATATATAATATGCGACACTCAGAGGTACTGCAATGATACCAACACAGAGATCAGTTATCGCCAGGTTACGATACAGGAGTTTGGACGGCGGATGAAGTGAAGTTTCCTTGTGTAGGGCAACTGGGATCAGAGTGTTCCCCAGAAATGCAGTTACTGACAGAAAAATTTGCATCGCTGAAGCAAAGATAAGCTGTTCATGTAGGTTCCGGTTTAATTCTGTCGAGCAGAAACGTTTCGTGGCTGGTTTTAGTTTTTCACCTTCAGTTAGATTTGTTGATGCCATTGTCTTTGCGAGTAAGCACAGCGTTCAGTTTGTCGATGGGGCTGTAGGTACAGTTGGGAAGAAAGCTGTTCTGTAAAAAAAAAAACTGCAGTGGGGCTACGAATTGATGCATTATTAAAAATGCAAATTCCCTCCTTCTGCAAGGGTTCGACTGCCTCCAGCGTGGTGGATTTTGTCTCATAGGGTTAAACAGCTGCAAATTAATTCTTAATAAAAAGACGTTTTCAACATCCTGTCTTGTCGTAAAACCAATTTGCGTTGTAATATCCTCTCACTTTTCCTCCGTTTTTTAGTGTCGTGTTCAAAACAGTTACATTTGTATCACCATCTTCCGTCTCTGTGGGTTATTTTCTAACATAATAATTGATATATGAGAAATGCCGTGAATCGCAAAACTGCGTAACCTGTGCCAGGCTCTCGGTCAGTTTAGACGAGCAAAAAAAAGCGAGCGAGCGAAAAAAGGCAGGAAGGGTGAAGAGGAGACTCACCTCTCTCCAGCAGTCCTCACGCGGTTTTTCGCACTTTTTTTCGATCTCCACTATCTTGGAGCCTGGAACAGGTTAAGAAATTCGCGTCGCTCGAGGGAGGGTGGCCAACAGAGCCGCCAAACAGGGGCAAGAAGGCGAAATTTGCGGTGAAATTTCATAAAATTTAGAGGCGAGGTAATAAAGTTAAAAGCGATTGAATTTCTTTTAATTGCTAAACAAATTATGCTTGCAGTAAAAGCAAGCTGGGTGGCAAGCAAAACGTCAACTTGTTTCAACAAAACTGAAAATTGAATTTGGAATCAATTATATTTTGTCTTATCAGCTTATTCTAACAAAGATTTGCATAAAAGCTTCTGGAAATTTAGCTTTCATGGTTATTGAGTTTATTGATATGGACTGACATTGCGCTACAATTAAATTACTTCTATCAATGACTCCAAAACCAAGAAAAAAACCAACATAAACAGACAAACTCGAAAACGAAAACAAAAAAGAAAACTAGAAAAAAGGGACCTTATCCTTTTCTGAGGTGCGATGATTTCTTTTTCATTCACATTAACTTTGTTTGTCTGAGTAAATAGTTTCATTAAAATTTGGCAGCTTCAAAACACTCGGTCAAATAAATACTAGCCTATACTGAAAGCCTTTTGCTTTCTTTTTTTGTTCCTTTAAACCCCAAACAAGAAAAACATTTTAAAAAAGGACGTTGATTTGCAGTGTAACAATAAAAAAAAATAATCTGCTTATGGAAAGCTGGTACGTTATATGAACTTAGTAAGGTATTGACGTCGTGGCTTAACTTGGGGAAAACGCCGTTTCAGATGTTCCAGTCATTCAGTTAGGTTCGGCACATGAAAGTACGGCGTCTGAACCAGGCCTAAGGTATTGACGCGTGGCAGGGAAAAATTTCTTCCAGTCACCTCACAAGAAGCTTCCGTAGCCCTTGAATAAACTCCATAATGTCAGTAAGGCAACAGTAACCAAACGAATGTGTGTCAATGTCTGTAACTGTCTGAGAGGATTTCAAAAGTACTTTAAATTACTGTGCAATCAATGGTATAATCCCAAATAAAAGCTAAGATGGCATTATGTTTTCTTAACAGTTACAATTTACTGATATCTCAGCCCTGCAGCAGGGTGAGTAGTCCGTCAATGGAACACAAAATTTAGCCGATAACAAAACTAACGAACATCCCCTTTTTCGTTCACCACAGACATCTACATGCTCCGCAATATATACATACCAAGTTATACCAACAGTTATCGCAAAGACTCGATACAGGAGTCGGCAGAATTATTAAGTGAATCATCATCATCATCGTCATCATCATCATCATAATTGACAATTGCTGGCTTTGACTTATCATAGTGTGAGTACTGTCATAGTTTGCTTTGTTGTTTACCAAGCTTGAGCGATTTCCGGCAAATACTCCTGTCTTACTTGTTTGTTGTCTTCAAATTTATCACCGTACCACTTGTATAATACTCAGTAAATTAGGTAATCCCTGGTTGCCTGCTGCAAGAGAGACTGCTTAAACGGATGAGTACAGTGGAACTCCGCTTTACGGACATCCGCTTAATTTTTCCCGACAAAAAGCTCATATACAGCCGATCCCTGTTAATACGGACACTGAGGGAGCCATAGAAAGTGTCCGTATTAACAGAGGGTTCGTATCAAGGGTGTTGAATTTAGAGAAAATGTAAGGGCTAGGGACACTGAAAACTGTCCTTAATAACGAGGTGTCCGTATTAAGCGGTGTCCGTAAAGCAGGGATTGACTGTATTTTATCTAAAATTAACCCGATTAATGAGGATAACGGTTAATACGCACAACTCAGGCACTTTTCAATGCCCCAAGCCAGTATTATTTAACTCTCCAATATGGTCAATCTCACTCTACGAACACAGGAAGAAACGGAGACTATGGCATGTCCCCTTAGTGTGCGTATTAACCGAGTTCCACTGTATTTTAATTAGACCGACGAACAGCACAAGTGCTTTAACGTGTCTTTGACAGCTTTCCTTACTTCTTTCATTCTCCAGCAGTACAGCAACGGGTTTAAGATTGAGTTAAAGTAAACAAAAGTAATGGTTAATTGCCTCGCTCGGTAAATTGCAGCAGACATCCCTTTTGAAGGCGTCAAAACTACAACTGTAGCATAAGGGAAATAACAAACAGTTAATGTGGCTGTCACCCACAGTGCACTGGACACTGCCTTTTTGTATCGAGCTATGTTCAGCGGAGTTGCTTGGCTTGGTTGTTCTTGTAAAGTATGGCCATGTATGTGAATTTGGTTATGTCGAAGAGTGAAAAAGATTAAGGTGTAACAAACAGTTACGGTGACGAAACACACAAATAAAGTTGTGTAGGTGTACCATTTTTGCATTAGAAGATTCGAAGAGTAGATTGATATGCCAACGATTGAATAACCCCAAAATAAAATTAGAAAAGCGCATGTTCTCTTAAAAGTTACAACTTGTCGGTATTTGAGCCCTAACAACAGGGCGAGAAGTCGGTCCACGCTTATTGCAGTCATCGTTAACAAAGACACTGCGCAAAACATGTAGCTACAGATAAAAGCTGTCCGTTCGGTGAAATAGCAAGCGGTCCATCTTTCGCCCACCGCAGATATCCAATGAGCAACTTTTGCAGGCTCTGCAATGATTCCAACAAAGAGATCAGTTAAAGCTAAGTTACGATACAGAAGTTTGGACGGCGGATGAAGTGAAGTCTCCTTCTGCAGAGCAGCGAGGATCAGAGTGTTCCCCAGAAATGCAGTGACAGAAAAAATAGCATTTAGCACTGAAAGAAAGACAAATTCATGGCGTACACCCCTATTGATTTCATCTGAACAATACGATTCTATGATTGTTTTTAGCTTTTCACCTCCAGTAAAATTTCGTGATGCCATATTTCTGCAAAAAGTAAGTCAATGTAAAAGTGCACTTTAATAACATGCCTCTTACAGCTGGCTGCCCAAGTTTTATAAAAACGCTATGTTGAAAAGCAAACAATGCAAAGAAAACAAAAAGCAAGCATTAATACAAATGCTAATTTCTTCTCTTCGCGAGTCTGATGAAAGCTTTACCACGTGATGAAACAGCTGCTTAAGGCTTTTCACATCTCTCCTCTTTCATTAGGGAAAAAGGTTTCATCATATACTGCCCCTCTTGCACGGAAACCGGTTCGGCATAGATCGGTGCTTTTTAATTTCAGAGTAATATTTGGGCCCATACTTTTTCCCAGCTCGAGCATTTTCGAGAACACTGTAATAAGTATCGTCCCAGCAGTATGCATGATGTTTGTCACTAAACAATTAATGACTGGTCCAGAGGGAAACAAAATTTACTGTTTCCCGAGGGACCAATCTTGAAGGGTTAGTGATTTGTTATATAGCTAGAAATTTCGAAGCTGGAAATTCATTAAACCTCGCTACACTGGGGGTCGTCGGTCAACATTCGTGGATAACATTGCACTGTTACCCTCTCACGTCATGGATTTTTTTGCAATGTTGCCCGCTTAGAGATTTTGGCGGTAAACAGTTTCATTGTTATATGTCATGTGACCTCGAAGTAACCAATGAGAGCGTACGCTGAGGAGAAGAAATTTCCAGCTATATAACAAAAGAACTTATTGTAGATTAATAGCAACTTTATACATCCCAAGAGGTCTCCTAAGAGTCCGCGAGCTCCTTAAGCTCTCTAGCTGGTATGTATTTAATGGTCATTTAATTTCGAGCAAGGTAATTTGTTAAAGGCCGGTAGAGCTTCCAGACGATGACAAGGTTTCCACAACATGATAGGGCAGAATTCGAATTAAACTAATAACTGTTACCTCGAGCTAAGTTCAGTGAAAATGCTTCGCTAAGTTGTTTACGTGAGAAACAAAGATAAAAGAACCGTCAGCCGCTCAAAAAGTATTCTACCAAGAAAAAGTGGTTCTTTTAACAAAGAAAATACCCCAGAAAAACATAAGTTTTAAACAATTTTAACCTGCAGTTTTAAGTTTTATGACCATTATGTTGCATTGCGTATAAATAAAATTAAGGGGTTCCCCCTGGCAATTTCTTCCTGCATGCTTTTATGTTCTTTATCGTGGGGAATTCCTTTCAGGAAAAATAGGCAAGTGCAAGTAGACGCTTGTTATTTTCATTGTTTTCGCTCGGCTTTTTTGAATCAAGCACGCTTTTAAAGACCTATACATCGACCAGTAACAGCAGAAAAGCAACAACAGCATGACCAGGGAGACATGTTTTTAAACTGTTCAAAACACTCACAGGGCGTGTTTTATCAAGTCGAGAAATTCTGACTCGCTCTTCACGCTCAAATTCTAAATTGTTAGTACACAGCTTTTCGTAAACGTTAAAAACAGGTCAGTACGACAATAACGTATTAAACCCCAAAACTACAATAACATCAAGTTTATTACCATAATAGTTTCAAAACGCGTCAAGAAATAATCATCTAGACACCTTGAGCATAGTCTGTACCACCATGATAAATAGTAAGAAAGTCGTTCTCAACTCATACTTGACATTATAGACTGATATATAGATTTAGCCAGAGCTAAAAGCTAAGCTTCCGTTAATACGTTGCAACGGCAATTACTTTGACTAAAAAAACGGCCTCCCGAGGAAATTCGTCTCTCCCGAAAAAAATTGGAATTGAGCCTGCGATCAATTTACATTTTATAACTGGTTAGCGGAAAACTCAAAAACACTTGATCTCCGCGTGAGCTCCGCTAATAAACATCGAATTGAGCGGGATTTCACTGCTTAAATAGGACAAAACAATGAACAAACAGACTAGCACTCACTTCAATGAAAGGGGCCACCTCTTCCAAATGAAAGAATGAAGATTCGATTGTTGGGACAGCGTCGTAGACGTAATTTAACCGCGGTTAGTAACGTCTGCGAAGCAGCGCCGAGATCCTTGTTCTCAGCCACCAACGGATTCAATGAATTTCCTTTCATCCTGATTTGCAAATTCACTGACAATGGCTTTTTTAACAGGTCAATCATGGCACATACTCAAATCATGGTACACAGGTGGAGGCCTAAAACAGGGATGTCGGCGCTGTGATAGTACCGACCGGCAATAAGCACGGTAATTGGGCTACCACCGGCCTCTGCTGCGAATAACAGCAAATGTCACTGATGAAGGGAACTTGCAAAAAAATGTTGGTGATAAAGTCTATTTCTCTGTAACACCTCTTTTAAAGTTCTCAGTCTTTTTCTTCCATTCCTTTCAGGTATACTAATCAAGACTAAAATTGAACTTTTTGACAACAATTCATTTTGCGGCTGAGAATGCTGTGTCTCCAGTCAAAAGCAGAGTTTTAATTATCGCCGACAGTAAGAGGTGAACGTTGTTGTTAACACTGTGTTAGAAGTTCAACAAATATTTATATGTTAAATTGTTATATTCCTAGACTTTCCCTCAACTAAACAGGGACTGCCATTGGTTGATTCTTGGTTACGTGGCCTTGACTAAAATCAAAAGTATCCCGATTTTTAAAGTCATCCTAGACGAGAAACAGCAGCTAGTGGAGGAAAAAGATGCAAATAATATAAGGAAAGTACTTTGTAAATCATTCATTCAGTGGTTTTAAGAATTAAACTTGTGTTGTTGTTAGTACCGAGTTGACTGTTTTGGTTCGCTCCGGTTATTCTTTTGTTGCTGTTGAAGTGAAAGTCTAGAAATATAACAAAACACTTAATGGCAGGTCCCTCGGGAAACCAGTTAGTTTTGTTTTCCCTCGAGTCCTGATGTTTCCCTCGACTTCGTCTCGGGAAACAGGACTCTCGGAAAAACAAAACGAACTGTTTCCCTCGGGATCTGACATTAAGTGTATAATAATTTACTTTCACATTATACCTTGATATGTTCTAATGGACTGAGTAACATCTTTAGAGCTCTTCGAAACTGACTACTTACACATTCTATAATATCCCCGCAACAGGATTTTGTAATAACATATGACGTAGACTTAGACCATTTAGACGCATGTCAATCTCTAAACTGATCACCTGAGAAATTTTAAAATAACTAAATAACTAACGCTCTTAAGTAGCAGCGATTTCACTAAACAGTATTAAACATTTTGACGTCATTTCTGTGGTCGATAACACAAAGCAATTCGACTTCGCGTTAATAAATACTAACCTTCGAAACCGTATAGAATTTTAAAAGAGTAATATTTTGTTGCTGTGAAAGGCTGGTAAACTAAACTGATTTATTTTTCAATGAAGACAGTCTCAAAACAAAGCAGAAGTAACCTACAAGATTTAGAAAGGTTATGTTAATTAGTTCGGTGAACAGAAAAGTTGCCTTATTGTTTCTTTCACAGCTTGCCTCACTTCTCTGATCTTCCAAAAGTACAACAACGGGTTTAATGACGAGTTTAAGTAAGCCAAAGTAACAGTAAATTGTCTGGCGAGGTAAAGCGATACAGAAATCGGCCCGTTTTGGTGTATTAAAGCTATTACTATACCAGTCGGCAAATAACAAACAACCAATGTTACCTGCACCCACAGTGCACTGTACACTGCCTTTCTGTATCGAGTTATGTTCAGTGGAATTGGTCTCGGTTGTCGTCCAGCAACACTGACATTATGGCTGTGAACTAGAATTTGACTTTGTCGCAAAGTTAAAATTATCTTTGTGTAAGAGAGAATGGTTGTAACAAGACACAGACATAAACTTACAATGACGACCAATGTCGGTATAACAGCATTCCCAAAGTGGCCTAATGTGCATGCAACGCAAAAGACCCAAATAAAAACTATAGTGGTGTATGTTTTCTTAACAGTTACAATTTGTTGATATCTCAGCCCTAACAACAGCGCGAGTAGTCTGTCCACGCTTATTGCAGTCAATATCACAAAAGATACTGAGCACAAAATATAGCCGATGACAAAACTTGCCCATTCTGTGTAAAAGCAAATATCCAATCTTCCGTTCGCCAAAGATATCCAATTTGCAACATTCACAGGCTCGGCAATGATACCAACACAGAGATCAGTTGTCGCTAAGCCACGTAACAAGAGTTTGGACGGTTTATTAAGTGTAGTCTCCCTGTGGAGGGAAACTATGATCAGAGTGTTCCCCAGAAATGCGGTGATGGAAAAAATGGTATTCGCCACGGAAAGGAACACTAACTCGTTGCGTAGTTTTCTGGTTAATTCTGCTGAACAATACTGTTCTGGATAAGTACCTGTTGTCGCCATGTTTCTGCAAGATAAGTCAAAGTACGGACGCAGCACTGTCGCAATAAACGATCGATGATCACTTCTCAGTGAAGCCTGAACTCTTGAGAAGTTATTGGCTCGTCAAGCTGTGGCCGCTATAATCAAAAGCAAACAAAGACATAGGACAAAAAGAGAGCGCATTAATATGCTCTTAATTTCTTCAGTTCTTGAAGCTAAATTTTTCCTCCAAGTCCAGCATAGCGGACTTTGTACCATGTGATCAACCAGGGGACAGGGCCCTTCGAATCACTTGTCTTTTATTTTAAGGTGGTTGAACAAAGTTTGGTAGGTTGTGAGAGGCAACCATTCATTGGGGTGTTATTTTTAAAGACTCGTTTTAGCTATAAAGCTTTAAATTTGGCACTTATAAAATAAATTTAAAAGACATTACGTTTATTAGGTTAAACATTAGAGTTCGATTGTAGCCATGACAACATGGATGATATGAACAACACAAAAATGTTGAATCTAGTAAGTTTACGCTTTGACGCTCCACTCATTAGATTTCCTTAGGAATAGCCCACGTTCGCCATATTATTATTCTAACCTGATTCCGAGGGATTCTGGTCATATCTCAATTTTTAGTTTGGTTTTCTTTGTGTTCAAGTCTCTTCTGGGAATTCCGAGACAATGGAGTAAAGAATAATTGCAATTTCGTTCATGCCCTGCTTGTAATTTGGCCTGTTTTAAAGTGCTTATCACCCCAAATTTGTTTTGGAATAGAATGAAAATAGAAAACTAGTCTTGTAATAAACGATGCCGCAGATTGTTTTACAGATTATTAAATAATTATGTACAATTAATATCTTAGGCCGTGACATTTTGGGCCCGCGGCGAGTGACCTATTTTGAGGCATTGTTCTTCTTAATATGCCCAGCACGCATGTCAGAGTTCGACGTCGAGTGGGACTGGTTCTCTTAAAAGTGAATCCCCGCTGTTTCAATATTTATCGCTCGTTTTCCTTGAGTCGTTCAATTTGTCAAATGTTGGTGACTTTTTCTGAAGTTAGTTTCTAAAGAACTGTATCAAGGTTTAAAAAAAGAATCAGAGAACCGTTCGCCTGTGTTTATGTCCTCCACAAAATGAGAAATTTGGGAGTTTCGCGTTGTGGTCGTGCAACTACGGCAAAAGATGTCAGTCTACAAAAGGCGTAATGCACGTGCTCAATGAGCCTGTTAATTGTTTTGTTTGCTGTTCTCGTTCTGTCGTCGTTGCTTAGTCTTAGTTGAACCATTCGGCATCTTCCCGACTAAATTAGATGTCTCACTCGGAAAAGCCTGTCATGTGTTGATTCTGGCGACTCAGAATGGAATTTTATTCCTGGGATCGTACCAATTATTCAGCAAAACTTCCAAGAAAAAAAGTCGAAAATTATGACCCAACTTCGTGCGCGAGCAGAGAGGCTGAATATGAAGAAGTTGTAATTCCTTACGCGGCAATTCAACAGCTTTTTCAATAGCGCAATAGGAAGAGCGAGTTAAGGCAGAAGCTTGAACAAAGCGGGGCGGAGGTAAGAACACAGTCTCAAAATACGTCATCGTTCCACTCGACCCAGAAAACTATCTACACGGCCTTCTGACTAAAAGCTCCTCAAATAGACAAATTTCGTACCCTTTAACCGAACTTGGAGTTCGCTTGCTTTGTCTGATTCACGCAAGATGTACTTAGTTTTAAAGCTGAAAGCACGTAGAATTTGTCTAAATTTTATCAATTTTGGGATGATTTGCACTTTAAACTTGAAAACTGAGCACGAGGTGTGAAGTTAATTGAACGGCTAATACAGGAATTTGGGAAAGGAAACAACATTGATGAGATGATGAATTTTAGCATAGAGTGCTTGCCAAAAAGACGCATAATACTGTATTTTAAATCAACTATTAACTTTAGTGTTATTCGCCTGTGGCGAAGTTAATATTCACTGGCCTGCAGTCAACAGTAAGTTACCAATATGACTGATCTTGAAAATATTTTGAGTCAGTTCTAATGAGGTTTTTCCGTCTTAATAACAGTTCTCAATTATCCGCGTATTCGACATATAAATGCTGACTATTTTTCTGAAGAACCGGCTGCCTCTTTTCACTTGTCATTTTGTGAAGAATCACTTTTAGAGGTACCTTATTCTTGCTAATGTTCGCACCTTTTTGAGAAATTTAATGTGCACGTACAAAAGATTACGCAAAAATTTATACTCGCAAAATTTCATACCATAATGTATACCAAAATAAGAAAATAATCAATAACTTTCACATCATACCTTAATATGTCAGTTCTCTTGGACTAATTCAACACCTTTAGGGCTCTTCGAAACTGACTCTATAAAGCTAACACATTCTGTAATATTCCTACACCAGGTGGTTGCATTGTAAGAGCATATGACGTAGACATGGACCATTTAGAGCGCACGAATCTCTAAAATCACCTAAGAAATGAATTAAAATCGCATTCCTTTTTGCACTTTTCAAGGGCTGTAGATGTAATCAGTCATCTTCAATAACACCAAAGACAATTTCTTACGAGAGCCCAAGAAAATAAATGTCAAATTTCACAAAATTACATCCTAAACATGAAATTTTCAGAATTTTACCTCAGGTGTTTTCATAATTCTTGTGAAAATTGACATCTATTTTCTCGGGCTCCCATGAGAAATAGTCTTTGGTGTTATTACAGATAACTAATTATATTTATAGCTCTTGAAAAAAGTAAAAAAAAGAATGCAATATTTTTTAAATTATTCTGGTACATTAGGTTTTTGTCCACTGAAAATTGAAATTACTCAATTTCCCAATGAATTTCATCTTAATTACTTAACGCTCAAAACGTTAATTAAAAACAAGGAATAATTAACACTGCAAATACAAAAGGAGCCACGGGTGGACAAACTTCAAGACGATTGTAATCTATTCAACAACATTCATATTCATGCTCAGTTGTATTTGTAAGGTATGGGAAAATGATTGATGGGCGCCTCACAGCCTTTACAGCTCCATTATTTGTCCAATAGCGCAATCTAAAGTACTATTATGACCGACTATAACTCTAAGACCTTCCCAATCCTCAGTTCTTAAAACAAAAACCTTCTAGGCTTACTAAACTATATTTAGACAAGTTTAGACCAGTACACTCACGCGCTACACATTGTATCTCCTTGACTGCCTCACCGTTCTGTCCTGTGAGAGTTTTTAATAAATGCTTCTAGTAGCAATGTTAATATAAACTCGTTCCTTAACACACAGCAACAAGGTTGAACGCCTTAACCAACTGATACAACACATACAGGACGGTATGACCCCTCGCCCAACTTACTCACATAAATTCAGACAGGTTAGCTAACCCTGTGAAGGCTAGACAAAAGTGTTACCAGAACGAAAGCGAAATGTAAGTGAAATGGTCACAGGCTGTTATCTCTCATTTGACGTTAACGAGGTTCTGGTACCGACGAGCTCATCATGTTTTTAACGGCCTTAGCTTAGCTATTCTTGACCGAAATTGGAAACTAAAGCCCTTCTTCCCTACACCACGGTTGGTCGTTTAAATCTGTTTTGTTTTCAGAAGAAGGCAAGGACCGGCCACTGGGCAAATATATCAACCCAGAATCTGGAATCACGCTCACCCCGTTAAAGTCAGCAGAGAGATAACAGCTAAGACCCGCGAGGTGGGAAGGCCCTTAAATTAAGGATACCTTGTTTTCAAAGCTGCCATAACTATGCCGACTAAAGGGACAACATGCAGTACACGATACATGTATATGAAGCTAAATAAACATGATTGCTGTTCGTTATTGTTCCGTATTCTCTCTCCTCTCATTGTTGACACCCAGACCTGGCAAAACACCTGACACCCTTTACTTTTCACTTTTAAAATAACATATTAACTTGTTAGGGTTAAAGGACGTTTTGCATTGCTCAGACTTTCCAAGGGAGTAAGGTATACAGTCTATACAAAATGGCCCATGTATTACAATAGTCACACCTCAAACAAAGAGGGCTTGAAGAACGTGCCTTTTTTTTCTCTGAGTGTCCTCACGATTTCCCTTGCAACTACCGGTATGTCCAGGACCTTGTTATGGTTTTTATCCCGCAAAAAGGCGCATAAACAACCTGATCAGTAGTAGTTGTTATACAGACTCGATGCTTCATGCTTTTTCATAGTGGGCGTGTATTATACGGAAATAACAACCCCTATCGACTGCTTGAAGTGTTTACGCTCCGAACGCAGTCCGTGAAATGAACAGAGTGTTTCTTTCTCTCTCAGTTTCCATAACGTCATACACAGTAATCCAACAACTTTAACTTGCAGTTACCTTAGGATCGTGAGAAAAGGAGCTAATTCTCGTTCCACCGTCAGCCACTGGTTTATAACGCTAGCAACGGTCACTTGCAATAAATTTTCACCCACCGATTACTAATTGTTCCAGGTATAAAACGAATAAAGCGGGCCTATGGCGTTCCTTCTAATTACAGACTAGATGCCTACGTCTATTTTACTGCCAATGGAATTCTAGCCTTTGAAAATATTCACAGCAACCTTGTGGCATTCCCCTACTTACTGAAACTAGACGCATACAACCAGTTTACCACCGAGGCAGCGCCAATTCGACAACCTTAATTGCCCCTGCCCGTTGAAAACATCCAACGACCACTCAAGCCGAAGGAATTATTCAAATAAAGCGAGCCTACAGGGTTTCTCTAGTCAGAGACTACACCCTAAACAGTCGGTTTTTCAACTAGCCACGGCCGATTAAATCAGCAACCCCGCTTCAGCCCTTTATAACCACGAAGTGACCACCTGAACCAAAGGAATTACTAGCGGAGCTCCACGCGTCCCTCTTGAGGGCGTCAAAGCTACCACTATAGCGTACGGACAGTAACAAACAGTTAATGTGGCTGTCACCCACGATGCACTGGACACTGCCTTTTGGTATCGAGACATTTTCAACGGAATTTCTTGGTTTGGTTGTTCGTGAAAAAGATGGCCATGAATGTGAATTTGGTTATGTCGTACAAGGACAAACATTATTAAAAGTGTAACAAACAGTGACAGATACGATGACGAAACATAGAAATAAAGTTATTTAGTTGAACCGTTTTTGCAATAGAAGATTCGAAGAGTAGAATGATATATGACATCCGGAATAATCAAGGTCGAGGTAAGTGTTATCAGCCAACCCGAAGGCCGAGGCTGATAACACTGACCGAGACCTTGATTATTCAGGATATCACAAAAACCGAATGTAATAATTCTTTTATTATACATTGTTTTGAAGAAAATAACGACAAACACACTATCGCAAGGAACCTTAGTTGATATTCTTATTGAAAATCATGTCCTGCGAGCGCAACCTACACATTAGTCACCTATCTGCTAGCAGATAACTAACTAATCTGAGACTCTTAGCCAACGAGAAGACAGATTAATGTAAAATAATTATAATTATAATAATTATCGTCCCTGTCCCAGCAGTATGCATGACGTTTGTCACATAAACTTATTGTAGTTTAAATGGCTTCTTTATATTTCCCACGAATCCGCGCGCTCCTGTAGATCCTTGGTACTATTTAATGATCATAAAATCTCTGCAGCGGATGGGTTCCGAGAGCTCTGTGTAACTGTCAAGAAATTGTTGGTGATGAAGTATTTCTCTGTGACACCTCTTTTAAAGTTCTCAGCCGTTTTCTTCCTTCCCTTTCAGGCAACAAGCAAGACTGAAATAAGGAACTTTTTGGCAACAATAAAAATCTTACAGCTGCAGAATGCTGCGTCTCCAATCAAAAGCGGATTTTTCAATTACTGCCGAAAATAAGAGAACGGCACGGATAATTCCAGTCTTCCTGGCTTATCGAATTTTCCAACTTTTGACTGGGACCAGTTAGCAAAAATCCGTCAACACGACTAAAAAGAACGCCTTCAAATTAGTAAAATTGCCACGTCTGAACGTGATTTGTTGAAAACCAACGAAGATATATATAGACATATATAGCTCCGTAAAGTCGTCGAATTTACAGACGTCTGTATGGTGGGTGGCAAGCTTGTGCCCCCACTATGAAATGTCTAAGTAAAATTTCGCGACTTTGTGGAGCACCTTCTTCGCACGCTTTTAACCTTTAACCTTAGTAAGTTTTCCAATTTTAGGGCGCTCTTCCTTTTTTGTTATTAAATTAATAACAAAAAATAAGCTTTATGCTATGTGCAATTCTAGCTTCAATATTAAATATAGAAACTAGAATTTATTTTTTCAATTTTCATTAAAGAAATGAGCATTCATGGGATTATAGTATTTTATCCACACAGCCCTTGACGTAATTATTGAAAGTCGCCTTCTGGCCTATCACACTAATCATTTGCCACAGCATAAACAAAGAAATTAAGGTTTTAATTTACTTTTTTTGGCAAAATTTATATTAGCGGGGTTAACTTCCAGAAGTGTTCATTGTCCACATTTTGCGGTTTAATGCACAGAAAATGTAAGGGGGCTACCGGGATAAAGAAAACTGTTCGGAATACTAAGGTGTCCATATGAATTGGGTTCAACTTCGTTGAAGGCAACAATTCAAACTTGTTCAAGCTTAAATGTTAATAAGCCGTAAAATTCATAACAGGAACTAGGTGTTGCGACCAAACGCAAGCATTAAAGCGGCACATCAAAGGCTTTTTTTTTCAATTATCTTCCTTTTTTAAATGTCTACGACCGTGATATCAAGGTGCTCAATTACCCTGAACATTTAAGTGCCATCTTCATTTGACAATTAACCATTTTTGAGTGAGGTTGAATATGATGTGAAAAATTATGCAGATCGATGGGCTATGTTTAAACGAAACGGATCTGCATCTTTAAAGAATGATCTAACAACATAAACAGAAGAGTTGCTTCAGTATGTCTTTAACAGCTTGCCTTACTTCTCTGACCTTCCAGCAAAAAAGCAGCGGGTTTAAGGATGAGTATAGAAAGACCAAAGTAGCCGTAAATTGTCTTGCGAGGTAAAATGATAAAGGCATCCTTCTTTGAGGTGTCAGAGCTGCGGCTATACCATAAGGCATATAACAAACAACAAATATTACTTCCATCCACAAAGCACTTGACACAGCCTTTCTGTATCGTGCTATGTTAGGTGAAATTGCTTGACTCGGTCGTCTCTGAGCAAAAGATCCTCGTACGTCAGTTTGATTATGGCGCAAAGTGAAGGAAATTTTTGCGTAAGACAAAATCGTGGTGGTAAGGCACGAAGCTGTCCCCATGTACAGCAGCCATGACGTTATCAGAGGATTCCAAAAGTTAGTTAAAGTACCGATAATGGACGCTACCCAAAACACAATTATAGTTATGTATGCTCTCCTCAGAGTTACAACTCGTCTGTATCTGAGTCGCAGCAACAGCGCAAGAAGTCTGTCCACGCTTATCGCCGTCAGAGTAAGTAGGGATACTGAACATAAAATATATCCTGTGATATAATTTGCTACAGCGGTGAACTGGCAAATATTCCATATTTCATCTACAGCAGATATCCAATAAGAAACTTGCAGCGGCTGTACAATGCAACCCACACAGAGGCCAGTTGCTGCTAGGTTGCGACAAAGGAGTTTGGACGGCGGATGAAGTGAAGATGCCCTGTGTAGGGCAACTAGGATCAGAGTGTTCCCCAGAACGGCAGTTGTGGACAAAAAGATATTTACCACTGAAAGGGCGATTAACTCTTGATGTACTTCTCCGGTAAATTCTGCCGAGCAATACAACTCTTGAATTGTACTCTGATTATTATCGCGAGTAACGTTTTCCTCTGCCATTTCGTTATAACGATTAATAACGATTAAGAACACATCTAGGTAAGACGAGCAATCGAGTCTCTTTCACTTTATAAAAAGCGTATTCTTTTACGTGCCAGACTCCACAGCAAAGTGGCTTAGTGAGATTACGTGTAATTTTGCCTTGATGAGCTCCTATTACCAGTGGGTTTAGTTCAACGGCAACTAATGAGCTGCAAATGCCATGAGCAATTATATTTTGTTGTTTAAATTTCACGAAAGTTTCCCAGGATTATGCTTAACAAGAGAGGATATCCTCTCGGGTGCTTAATTAATCAGGCAAGTGGACGGAAAAATTCATCAAAGCACCAAAGGATTATTCGCTATTGTCAATCAAATCGGTTGGGAATTGCTCCTCTTTAATGAAACATCTCCCACTTACTTCAGTGGCGGATCTAGACCTTCATTTAAGGGGGGAGCGGTTATCCAGACCCTGAGATAAGTGGGGGGGGCAGTCTCAAAACAATTTTTTTGCGGCCCTTCGGGCCCCAGTTTGATCTAAAAATAAAGGAAGGGCCCGGGCCCCTTGGGCCCCTCCCCTGGTTCCGCCACTGTACTTGCTAGAGTTTTATTTCTTTCTTTCAAGAAAAAATGATCGCGGCATTTTTTTAATTCCTTAATTTCCGTTGTCTATTTTGTTCGCGACTTGCTTTTCTTAACTACAATACGACCATGGAACGAATTTTACATATTTTTGACAAAATAATGTCTTAAAATTTTAAAGACAAAAACACTGTTCGATAACTTGCTATGTTTAATTCGCGGGGAAATTTTGGGCTCATCAGTCTTCATCTTGTAAAAACCTGTAACCTTTACGAGTATATGTTTAACAAAGAATTGAAAACTACCCAGGATCATACACCGAGTTAAAGACAAATTTTGTGCCAGAGGTAGCGGGGAATAATACCGAATATCATAAGCCCTAGCCCATCGTCATGTACATTAACATAATTTTACGTAAAACAAAATAAAGAACTGTACATAGCAGGTAGTATTCAGTATGCTCGTTTTCAAAACTAATTCGAATATCAATGTCGGCTAATAACGATCTTAAATTTGCACAAACTGATTCTTGCTGGGAGATGAACTTATGAAAAAGGTAATTCCTTGACTCAAATCCTGTGCTAGTCCAAGAACATTTGAACGATTAAACTGCTGTTGCCATACCAAGTAAATTAAATGACGGATACAAATTGTTTTTGCTCATCCATTGGAGATTATGCCCGTCTACAAGAGAGAAGTTGCCCTCTTTTGGTTTTTCTCCCATTTTCCCCCTTCCCCCCTATAAAAGAGGATTTTCTCCAGATCCTCTGATCTTCAGAAATTGTTTCTTTATTATTTAGACCCAGATTGACAACATCTGTTGAGGTTACTATAATTACCAAATTTGAAGTTAAACGTTGCATGAGGCCAGGCAACTTCTAAACGTGCGCCTTTTGCAATTACTTCAGAGTTAGTTTGTTTGATAAATCTGAACTTTCAGTAAAATCCAAAATGGCGACCATGATTTCACATCAAGTCATGTCCCATATTTCATGATATTTAAGTGCAGCATTTTCAAATTACCACTTTAAGGTGTCTCGATACAGTTTTTCAGAGGCCAACTTTAAGGTGTTTCGATACAGTTTTTCAGAGGCCATTAGATACCTATATTTTTCAATAGCCCTTAAAAGTTTTTTTTCCTTGTCCGATCGCCATAACATTTTCACCAATAATTGGCGCGGATTTTTGACCGGTAAGTAGGATAGGTTTGTCTTGAAATTTCAAGGTGTTGCAGTGAATCAATCTTAATGAAAGTTTCAGACATTATTAAATATACATTATGAAGATTATGTGAAGAGATTTTTAAAAAATTCGTTCGAGTCTTTTCAGAGATATACAAAAAAGCGCTAAAAGTCTAAATTTTGAATGAAGTTGCACTTAGACAGGTGGTGAGAATAATTTGTGTCATTTATAACCTCTTTATTAATAATTTATTACGGTTATTGAAAATTTAAGGTTTGAAATATATCTTAGTCTTAGTCGAATTCAAACATACAGAATTTTTTACTTCTTACGGAGGTTATTTGCTAAACTCCAAACTTTAAGTTCCCAGTGTTGGATTTTCAGTAGCTGGTCTACATCGAGAAAAATTAGGCGTTTATTAATTTCAAAGTTTTTTGTTTATTGTAAGTCATTAAGTAATATCGATTTTACTAAAACCTACATTTTGACAAATTTCAATCTATAGTCAATCATTGGTGAAAATTTTATAGCGATCAGACAAGGAAAAACCACTTTTAAAGCGATCGAAAAATATCGGTATGGCCTCTGAAAAACTATATCGGAACACGGGTCAGAAGTTTGGACGGTTGATAGAGTGAAGTTTCCTTGTCACGGTAGAGTGACTAGTATCAGACTCGCAGAGTGTTCCCAGAAATGCATTTACTAACCTCAAAATATTCACCGCCGAAAGAAAGATAACCTCTTCATTTGGGTTCCAGTTGACTTTATTTGAACAAGAACTTTCTATGGTTGTTTTTACAATTTCCTGATCGCCGTCAGTTAGATGTCTTGATGCCGCGTCTCTGCGAGTAAACATAGCGTTCTTTGTTGATCGGCCTCGTGCAGTTGGCAAAAAAAACTATTCTGTAAAATCAAACACCGCAGTGGGGTGACGATTTAACTGCATTTGATTATTAAAAAGGGAAACCTTTTCCCTCTCCAAGGTCCCACTGCGTCCAGCATGATGGACTTTGTATTATATGGTTAAACAGCTGCAAATCACTTTTTAATCACAAAGAAGAAGGTTCTGACAACCTGTCTTGTCATAAAACCGATTTGAAGACGTTCGTTGTAATGTCTTCTCACTTCTTCTGTTTTTAGTGTTGTGTTCAACTTCAGGAAATTCTAATTTGTACTACCATCTTCTGTCTCTGTAACTTCCTTTTTCCATTTTTGCTGCGGAGCGATCGTAGGGAGCGAGCAGCAACATAATCAGGATTTAAGGGAAATATATAAGGGGCGACGAATTCGCGAATTCATCACTTTTTACCACAATGCATTGCATTTGACCACACTTTTTACCACAATGCATTGCATTTAACCAGAGTGCATTGCGCGACGAACAAGTTCGCATCGTTCGCTGCCCAGACTCAGAGTTTTCTTTGTAGCAAATTTTCTAGAGCACGGTTAGAGGTCTTACCAAATTTAAGACACGCAGGAGTCTTTCAGATGAGTACGATGGTTAACTTGGGGATTGGATTTCAGTTCAAGAGCCTTTGACTCGTCCAGGTGTTAAACCTGACGAGAAGATGAGTATTTGCTCTTCGACTCCGCAACACGGGGGATATACAAATTCCAGCTTGCTAGAAGGTGATGTGAAAGTGAGAGATTGTCATGCCATGCTGTTCTTAAGAACCTGTATGAGCCGAAAATGGATGTGATTTTGACCATTCGCTTCAAAATAACAGGAGAAATCGAGATATCAAAACATATGTTTTGTGTCCTACGTTGCAGACGAGGACGTGTATCGGCGTCTTGAAAAGCATAATTATGTTCTTTCATTCATTCATTGCCATGGAATATGCGTTTACATTGTTTTTTGCTGTTAATAGCTCGATTAATGCGGCTGGCGATCATCTTGCCGGCGGAAGTTTCACGGAAAAGGAATTAAATGAAAGACTTTTCCCAAAATTACGAACTCAGTCTCTGTGGTGTAGTGGTGAGGTGTATTCGCGTCGAGTCGATGGTGCAGGGTTCGAGTCCTACCGAACTCTTTTTTTCCTTCTTTCTTTTTCGTCTGTTTTTTGTGTTGTTGTTTTCTATAAATATATAGCTAAATAACTGTTACTTAATAAAGTGCAATACACAGCAAGAAAAGTATCATGTTTCCAGAGAAAAGATAGTACACCCTATATTAAATATATGGATAAACAATCTGAATTTCTATAATTTCCTACAATTTACTGTGGGAAAACCAGAGTTGATAACCACTTGATCATTTTTTAAACAACGTTCCCACCAGTTCTTTATATAGACTGATAGTAATTATTAGTAGTACTTTCCAACATGTAAATAGGACATTCAATGTCATTTTCGATTCTTTTAAGTCCCACTGCCTAACTAATGCCAGTATCAACAGAATGTGCCGCAGCATTACTATCTTTTAGGCACCCTAGTAATAATTACTAAACAAGAAATACGTACATGCTTCCTCGGGAAGCTCGAGAAGGATGGCCAAACAAGGGTAAAAAGTATTATTTCATGAGATTTAGGGAGGTAAGTAAACAAAGTTAAAAGCGATCGAGTTTCCTTAGCGAAAAAAATCATGATTGCAGTCAAAAACAAGCTGGCCGACAAGAAAAACGTCAACTTGATTCAACAATACACCATATGCACGATGGCGTCATTTTACTACTACGACCAGAACCCTTTTCGTTCTCCCCCTCATATTCAAAGTTGGTACTCCCAGCGAGGTTTACAAGACAAAAGCACTTATTTGCACAAGAAAGAAAAACACTGAAGGATTCTAGTCGTAGTAGTAACATGAACTCATCGTGCAAATGGCCTATAAAATTGAATTTAGAATCAATTATTTTTTTTGTCGTATTCTAACAACACGATTTGCATAGAAAAGTTCAGAAATTTTAGCTTTCATTGTTTTTGATAAGGGTTGCCATTTTGCCAGAATTTAAAGACTTTAACCACTCAAACATAAACAAAAAAAAAACAAGAAAACAAGAACAAAAACTCGAAGAGAAAAAGGAGCTTGTCCCTTCCCGAGGTGCGGTGGTTTCTTTTTCATTCTCGTTAACATCGTCTAAGATGATCTGAGTTAATGTTTTAAAGTTGGCCACTGCATTACCATCCTATAAAGTAATACTTGCCTATACGGAAGCCTTTTGCATTATTAAGACGAAGAAGACGTTTATTTGAGTTGCAAATTAAAAAATGGTTTGCTTATAAAAAACGAATTCGTTATCTTAAGGTATTAATAGTAACGGCAATCAAACGAAATAAACAAATCTAATAAATCAGTGCTTTTTATAAAGAGAGGTTTTTGGTTAGGTCTATGAACAATAAAAATGCTGTTCTATGGTGCTTTTCACAGCTTGCCTCACTTCTCTCATCTTCCAGCAATACAGAAACGGGTTTAATGATGAGTTTAAGTAAACCAAAGTAACAGTAAATTGCCTAGCGAGGTAAAACGATACGGAAATCCCCTTTTGGTTTGTCAAAGCTATTAGTATACCATGCGGCAAATAAAAAACAACCAATGTTACCTGCACCCACAGTGCACTGTACACTGCCTTTCTATATCGAGTTACGTTCTGTGGAATTAATAGTCTCGGTTGTCGTCCAGCAACACTGACATTATGGCTGTGAACTAGAATTTGACTTTGTCGCAAAGTTAAAATTATCTTCGTGTAAGAGAAAATGGCTGTAATAAGACACAGACATAAACTTACAATGATGACCCATGTCGGTATAACAGGATTCCCAAAGTAGCTTACTGTGCATGCAACGCAAAAGACCCAAATAAAAACTAAGGTAGCGTATGTTTTCTTAACAGTTACAATTTGTTGATATCTCAGCCCTAACAACAGGGCGAGTAGTCTGTCCACGCTTATTGCAGTCAATATCACAAAAGATACTGAGCACAAAATATAGCCGATGACAAAACTTGCCCATTCTGTGTAAAAGCAAATATCCAATCTTCCGTTCGCCAAAGATATCCAATTTGCAACATTCACAGGCTCGGCAATGATACCAACACAGAGATCAGTTGTCGCTAAGCCACGTAACAAGAGTTTGGACGGTTTATTAAGCGTAGTCTCCCTGTGGAGGGAAACTATGATCAGAGTGTTCCCCAGAAATGCGGTGATGGAAAAAATGGTATTCGCCACGGAAAGGAAGACTAACTTGTTGCGTACTTTTCTGGTTAATTCTGCTGAACAGTACAGTTCTAGATCTGTTGTCGCCATGTTTCTGCAAAGCAAGTCAACACACGCACTTTAATGATTAGCCTTTTCCTGCTGGCTCCTCAAGTTGTAGCCGCTATGCTGAAAAGCAAACACTGACGTACACATCTACATTTAATTTTAACACTTACCAATAAGCTTTCATCTCTCAAATGAAACGATATTGTAATTTCTGGCCAGTTTCGGGCAAAAATAAAACCATTCAACATGTAAATGCTGGCGTAATTTGATTGAGACTGTCTTATTGTCGGTTTTTGAAGTCTTTATTTTCTTAATGCCCTCCAAAGTGACAATAATATTAATTACCTCTCAGAGCTCTGAACACAAAGTGCGGGTTAATTGAACGGCCAATATAAGAATTTGGGAAAGGAAAAACATTGCTGGCGAAATGAAATAGAGTGTTACCCAGAAAGACGCATAATACTGTATTTTAAATAAACCATTAACTTAGTGTTATTCGCCTAAGGCGAAGTGAATATTCACCGACCTGCAGTCAACAGTAAGTTACCATATGACTGATCTTGAAACGAATACTGAATAGGAGAGAAAAGAGGGTCTCAATGGGGTGGTAGCTTTTACGGTCATCGGCTAAAATTTTGGCTCTTTTACGGCTATCGGTTAATTTTTTCCAGTAACGGTTAACAACAAAGTTAAAAATCAATTTCTTTTGTTTCAAGGAGTTAAATATTAATAAACCGGTATTTTTTGTATCTTTAAAGCAAAATAAAGGTCTTAGGATCATCTCGGGATGAAATAAGCCATTCTTTTGAAAAATTTTAACATTTGATAGATCATACTTTTTATGAAGTATTCCACTTCTAATATTATTTTACCCATACAAATGTCAATAGTCAATTTAAAAATAATCTTTGTGAAAAAGCAAAAGCAGACTGACGCAAACGCTTAACTCAAGGCCGGTGCGCCACACTCGTTTATAACAGAAATGGCCGTTTTCACACTAGAGGCGGATTATTCGGGTGAGACGGGTTATCCGTTTGATAATTTGCGTCAGATAGGTAATACGTCTTAATTTGAAAATTGAATGGTTTTAATTTTGAATCAGAACAATCCGCCTGGCTTCTCCGTCAATTTTGACGGACAATTTAATTGAAGATGGATTATCCATTTCAGACAGCCTGTGTACAGCCGCCCCCTCCCCTCAGAAGGAGGAAGGGAGAAGGAGTGTCTGTGGGGGAGGGGGTGACTGTACACAGGCTAGTCTCAGATGGATAATCCATTTCTAGCTCTAGTGTGAAAAAGGCCAATGTAAAACAATTCCTGTGTCTAGTGTTTTTAATGATAGCGAAGGACTGTACAGAACGACTGTCTGCCGTTGCCTTGTCCGTAGGCCTCATTATTCCGCGCGGCTGATGAGTTTCGGGTCACGTGGTCCGAGCGAGTCTTTTTCTCAGATACCGAGATTGCGTGGGAAGACGCCGTAGCGTCAGAGAAAAACAGGGAATTGTTAAATGGAATTGTTGTTTATCGTCGACGTATTTTACAAAGAGTGACATCTCTGCGTGTTGCTAGTATTTCGAGGGCACGACCTCCTGAAAATCTCAAATATTAATCCCCAGCAAGAAGCCAGATTTTCGCTGTAGAAAAAATTAGTTCCCCGAGAGAGCGGCGGCGGAAATTGAGCCTAGGTCTAGGTGGTCCTAGGTCAACACCTAAAAGCTAGGCGCTTGGCCTGACGTGCGTACGCGGTCAAAGTAGCCGGGAAATAAAAACGCAACCATAAGCGAGTTTAGCACCTTCCTTAAAACTAACAAATCTAGGGAACAATTTCTTTTACGGTTAACTCTTCCTCACCCTATTTACGGCTAACGGTTAAAATTTTTTCAATTTTTATGGCTATCGACTAAATTTTTGGCCGTTTCACGCCTATCGGTTAACCCCATTGAGACCCTCAGAAAACAAGAAGCGACTCCAAATATATAACAGTTCTCAATTATCCACGCATTCAACATAAATGCTGCCTATAGTGAAACAATACGATAATCCTTCTCTGAAAGACTGCCTTTTTTCCCCCGACGTTTTGTGAAGAATCACTTTAGAGATACCTTATTCTTGCTAATTTTCGCGATTTTTGAGAAATTTAATGTGCGCGAACACCGAAAGATTGCTCGAAATTTAAACGCGCGAAATTTCACACCATAATATATATCAAAATAATAAGAGTTTTAAATGTTCTGAGTCCGGGCCTTGTGGTGAGTTGTTCTGAATTAAACTCTAAGTGCGCCTTCTTGAAAACGTCTCAGTTTCCGGTCTTCGGCTAGCACACTTCCTCTGGTTCACTGCTTTCTTCAGCTTTTCTTCAAGGACAATAAGCACTGATGAAGGGATCCGGATAGGTCATAACTTTCAAGAAATTGTTTGTAACTATAAAGCCTTTCTCTGTATCACCTCTTTTAAAGTTCTCAGCCTTTTTCTTCCATCCCTTTCAGGTAATAAAAGAGACTGAAATTGAACTTTTTGGCAGCAATTTATTAGAGAAGCTTGAGAAAACAATAAAAATTTTGCAGCTGCAGTATGCTGCGTCTCCGATCAAAAGCAGAGTTATTAATTATTATACTGCCGACAAGGGGAACGGCACGGATAATTCCAGTCTTCCTGGTTTATCGATTTTTGCTTCGAATTTTTCAACTATTGACTGGGACCAGTTACGACGAATCCGTCAACAAGGCTAAAAAAAACGCCTTAAAATCAGAAACATTGCCAAGTTTGAACGCGATTTGTTGAAAACTAACGAAGATATATAGCTCCGTAAATTCGTCGAATTTACAGACACCCGTTTGGTGGCTGGCACCACACGTACAAAAGTCTGTAAAATTTCGCGACCTTATGGAGCAACTTCTTCGCTCGCTTTTAACCTTTAAACTTAGTAAGTTTTGCGCTCTTTCCAGCTGTCTCAATGGATATTCACTACTGTGATCTGGTCAAAACTTTAAAACTTGCAAAAAAAAAAATATATATATATATTGGAAGGGCCCAAAGCATAAAGCTAAATTATATGTATTGACACTGAGACTAGAATTTATTTTTTCAACTTTCATTACCGAGGTCAAAATTAAATTAAATAGTATTTTTAATTATAGTATTTTATCCACACAGCCCTTGACATAATCATTGAAAGTCGCTTTCTGGTCTATCACATTTATTATTTGTTTTAAAATTTTAAAGCCAAAAATACTGTTCAATAAGATGCTATGTTTAATTCGTGAGGAAATTTTAGGCTCATCTTTATCTTGTAAAAACCTGTAACCTTTACAAGTTATGTTAAGCAAAGAAAGCAAAGAATAAGTCAACACTGCGAAGAGCATAGGAAAATATAACGCATAAAAGTTACAAAATAAGAAAACTTTCCAGGATCTTACATTGAGTTAAAACCATTTTTGTGCCAGAGGTAGCTGGGGGAATAATTGTTCAATATTCACCCCACTAGGCGGTGAATATAAAGCAAAACAAAGTTGCCGTCGTAAACTGGGTGTTTTGCCAAAGTGTCAGAGTAAGAACTTTTTGAAAACACAAGAATATCCTAGAGTTGATGATTCTGAAGGTAAGAAAACCCGTCATGGTGTTTGAACAGCGTGATTCATTGTGAAGTGATTTACTGTAGCGGACGTATTATACACTCGAAGCAATGTTTACCACTACAGAGCAAAATTAACGAGGCTACTTTGTCACAGTTTTATGAACTCGGGATTTCCTCGCCAGACCAATTTTGCCTATAAATAGAAGTTAATTTATCGAGAAAGAACAAAGAACACTGCAGATAAGCAACACGTGGTCGCTGTTGACAGCATTTTAGCCTGCGAAAACATCCCTTTCTCCTCGCTCTTCGCCGCTGGGGACGTTTCGCGCGGAGGAACGTCTGCGACTCAGCGACAGACATTCCATACTGATGACGTAAAATCTGTCCGAAATCAGGTCAGAAGCGCTGGTTGGTCGACAGAGTAGTTACATCGTTTTAGCTATTGTTTACGAATGACAGTCTTGACAGACAAAAGACAAAAGGCCACAGAGGTCAAATGTAAATGTGAAGAATCTCTGACAAAACAGTCAATATTTGTGGAATATAGTCTTCTCTAGAAGAAGTATTTGAGTTTTGCTACAAAAATCGACCATAGGACACATAAAATTGGACAAATTTATATTTGGAACCCCATGACTACCAGATTTATTATGTTTATACTACTACATGAGAAATTTCTGCAATTTGATTGGCTTAGAGCAGTGGTATTTCAGCTTAATTTGAAATACCTACATGTGAAAGTTACAACCTTTTGCGGGTAGTAGTATAAACAAATAATAGCATGATTTGTACGTGATATTTGGCATAAATACCACTCGTGATATTTCAAAATTGTCTCAAATTTCACTCGCCTAACGGCTCGTGGTGAAATTACGTATAACAATTTCGAAATATCACTCATGGTATTTATGCCAAATATCACTACTAATCATGCTATTACCTATACAAACATTGATTTGCGTCATCAGTATGGAATTTCTGTCGCTGAGTCGCAGACGTTCCTCCGCGCGAAACGTCCCTAGCTACGAAGAGCGAGGAGAAACGGATGTTTTCGCAGGCTAACAGCATTTGCAAGAAGCGACAAAAAAACTTTCTCATTCACGGTAAGTTGACGGAAACAAATAAAGCTCTACGTTTCCTCTCAGAAGGTACAGTAATTTAAACTTTCGACGTTTTCTTTTAAACCATTGATGCTTAAGCGATTTGTCTGATCTGCCATGTTTTAAGATACTGTAAAGATCTAACTTTTGCACATCTACTGTTTACGGCTACATGTTCACGCATGAATTCACCCATCGATCAAAATAATCGTTTTTTTAATGGTTTCCTTTCTGATTCTGTTGAGATCACTTCGTGTGAATATACTAAAACAATTATTCACCTCAGGCTCAGTTAATATTGTTGAATAATCCCCGTGACGAAGTCAAGGGGATTATTCAACAATATTAACCGAGCCTTCAGAGAATAT